GAGATGATTAGTATGCCCTGTATTATCACAAGAATTATCACCTATCACCGGCCGGAGATCACTAATATTATCGCCTTCATGCATGCGTTTATATGAGCAATATATGCCTCCACATGTTCACAGAACACCATGTCTCGAAAAGCTCGTCTGATACAGAGGTGCACTAGGTGTCTATCTGGAAGTGCGGGATCTCTCCCCCCCCCCCTCCTACTCTCTATCTCTCTCTCTCTCTCTCTCTCTCTCTCTCTCTCTCTTCTCTCTCTCTATCTCTCTCTCTCTCTCTCTCTCTCTCTCTCTCTCTTCTCCCTCCTCTCTATCTTCTCTCTCTCTCTCTATCCTCTCTCTCTCTCTCTCTCTCTCTCTCTCTCTCTCTCTCTCTTCTTCTCTCTCCTCTCTCTCTCTCTCTCTCTCTCTCTCTTTCTCTCTTTCTCTTGTGCTCCCTGCAATTTTGATCTTAACCAGTTGTGAAAATTTGCACGAATCAATCGAATCACGCGATCCGGAAACAGCTGCGCCCACTCGTTGCATTCCAGTGGTGTTTCCCTGGAATGCCGACCGCGCTTGTCAGCAGGGGATTGCCAGGCGTTGCTGGTCCTTGAGCGGCCGAGACCTACGCAGCGTGCAGTCAAGAAGAAAAATAGGCGCTACGGCGACTGGCTCTTCGAAATGGCCGGAGCGGTCTATCGTAGTCTGTCATTTTGAGAAGGTGTGTAGGACGCGTGCGTGCTGGCAGCTGTATGACTCACAGCTGCAAACTTGCACCTTACCTAAAGCGAGGTGTTTCTGATGAGCACTGCCCGCATTGCAGCTGTTTTCTGATCGGACAGCGCTGCGAGGCACACATGTTTAGCTGCAGCGCCAAAGCTCCTGTAACCTCCAATTGTGATTTTGAGAACGTCGCTCCATCTCCCGTATTAAGTGGATTCTGTGCTGTTTCCAGATTCGGGGCCGGTGGGCGAGGCGATGACGTGTCGAATCTGCCAGCGCGACTTTGACCTGGCCGACTTCATCCGCTTCATTCACCACTGGGCACTGAACTGTTCCGGCGAGCAGGCGGGGGGCGTACACGGCCATTCTGCGACCCACCTAACGCCTTCCGGCGAGAGCGACGACGAGTTCAGCCTTAACGGCGACGCACAGCGCCGCCTAGCGGCTAGCTTTCTGCGACAGCTGGCGCCCTCTTCCCGCGACCGCGAGAACCTCGAGTGCAACGGACTGTCACCAGCTCCCTCCAGCATGTCCAGTGGCTCTTCGGTTGTTAAGAAGGAGGACATACCGAAAAGATACAAGGACGAAGACACCGATCGGGAAAAGCGGAAACATCTTCTTGTCAACGCGGGTGCAAATACTGCCGAGTCAGGTGAGAACGGCGGTTTCGTGAGAACTGATTGACAGCGCACGAATTTCAAATGTGTGTAGGATATTTGGATGCTGTGCGATCATCCAAAAGCTTCATAAGGAGGGGAGGGTTTTTTGAAAAGCACGCACCGTCCGCCAGCTGAAACTGCGCAGTCGCCTCCTTTGTCACTGAGAATCCCATTTTCACTTGCGGATTGCATCGGAAGTCGACGAAACACCAACAGGGCTCGAACCTTTGTGCATGAGGTCCAAGGCTTCCAATTTTGCCATACATATTCCAGATGCCAGGTCCCATTGCTTATGGATTAGCACACTGACTGATTCCACAAGCCTCGGTGGTATAGCCACTAGGGCAGTTGCCTATCCACCATTTCCCCCGGAGTGCGCTGTTAAAAGCAGTTGTCCCACGAAGTCAGGAGAGACGGTTTACTCGGAGCGATAGCGCATTTGATTTCTTGAGGGCCTGTTGTATCCAGCATCTGTGGTTAACAGAGTCTCCACGCTGAGCCTCCAGAGCATCCACGCTCTACGCTGATATGGCGGTGCTGAACGGGAAACCCCCGGCTTATGTTCAGCTGCAGCGCCACCGCGGGCATCCGTCTTCGTGTCAGCTCCCAGCCGAAGTTCCAGAGAGAACATTTTCATTTTTTAAAATCTGGACAAGCAGTCGGCCTGGCACTGGACCGTGGGAGCGCCGCGGGCGGCGCAGTCGGCCCATCGGGCGACCTTACCCGTCCGCGAGCGCGCGTCATGACCGGCCCGACCGCGCCAGTCATGCCGGGCGGTCCGGCACCGCGCCGCTTCCGCCCCGTGACGTCACCGGCGGTCACTTCCGGCGCCGGTCAGTCGGTACCGGCGCGCCAATAGCCTCGCTTCCGGCGTGCTCCGCCAGAGCGGAAGCCGCCGGCTTCAACTGAACACTCGGTCGCGGAATCACTTCCGGCGGCGAGCGGCGGCGCAGCGTGCGCAGAGCGGTGGCGCGGCTCCGCCGGCCGCACGCCTCCTGGCCGGACTCAAGGTCATGTCATGTTTTGGCGCCCGATTTGAGGTTATGCCATCTGTTGGCGACTCTGGTAACTGAGCGGCTCGTGCGACGAGGATCCCCAGCATTGCGTTGTGGTTAACACACCACGCAGTTGGACTGTTTGATGATGCTGCATTTACGCAATTCTGTCCCGTTGGCAGGAGCATACAACTGAAATGTTTGATATGAAAACGATTCGCGAACATTTGGTCTGTGTAACCTTGCATACAGATCTCGGATAGGACCTGTCAACGTTCCGCGATGGGTTCTGGTATGCTCCATGATTAAGGGCGTGGGAACGTCCCCAGAGGAAAGGGGCAGCCGTAATCTCAAGTCCATGTTTACCGCGCATCCCCATATTCTGAATAATGCTCAGGTAACCGCCTGTGTTTATCGCCCACGACGCTTAAAACTACGGTTGATGCAAAAATGTCACTCTTAGGGGCAACGTAAGCAGGTGCGTTGGGACCAAAGCATCAGCGCACACAGCTCCGACACGTGCACCGTAGCCACTCACAGCTCCGGCCCGTGCACCGTAGCCAGGTGCGAGGATTATCTGGCAGAAGGAGAGAAGACAGAGAGAGAGAGAGAGAGGGAGGAGGAGAGAGACGGAGAGAGAGAGAGAGGAGGAGAGGAGAGAGAGAGAGGAGAGGAGAGAGGAGAGAGAGAGAGAGAGAGAGAGAAAGAGAGACGAGAGGGAGAGAGAGAGAGAGAGAGGAGAGAGAGAGGAGAGAGAGAGAAGAGGATGAATGAGAGAGAGAGAGGAGGAGGAGAGAGAGAGGAGAGAGGAGAGAGAGAGAGAGAGAGAGAGAGAGGAGAGAGAGAGAGGCTGGAGGGAGGAGAGAGAGAGGCGAGAGGGAGGAGAGAGAGGAGAGAGAGAGAGAGGGAGAGAGAGGAGAGAGAAGGAGAGAGGGAGGAGAGAGAGAGGAGAGAGAGAGAGAGAGAGAGAGGGAAGGGGGGGGGGACAGCGCCTGCATGACTATGCGACGACATCAGAGAGGGATAGGAACGCTCCGACTAGTGACCACTCCCTCTCCTCCCCTCGTTCCGCGCCGCCGTGCGCCTGGTGTGCTGGGGCGCCCCAGCCGCCAAGGTCCCGGTATTCTGTGCAGCAGCAGGAAGCCCCGTCTGTTGGCTGATTGATGACCCCGACACGACCCTGTGTGACCATCGTGGGCCGCCGCCGTGGGAGCGCCCATTCATCACTGTCATTTTCTGGCTTAATGTTTTGTGTACATATGAGGGCATTCCCGAGGCACCCGGCGAATATGGAAATGCATTCAGTTCGAAAGCGACAGGAAAAAACGACCTTAACACGTGACGATCTCAACCCACGGCTGGCCGGTGTTCCGTCACGTGACCTCAGGTCTAGCACCGTGCAGTGTCGGGTGCCCGACGACCCGGCCTGGCCCGCGGCCGGAGGCGGCCGGCTGCCTGTCCAGACGGCGCCCGGCGCCGCCGCCACACGCCGCTGGCCGGGGCTGATCGCGCGGACCGCTCGCCGCTACGACACAGAGCGGCTCGGCAGCAGGCGCCGCCGGTCGGGCTTGCGCTGCTGGTCTTAGCAAGCCGCTGCCGTCATCACACCACTGTGGTGTAATGACGCATCGCGGTGTCGGTGAACTGTCTCCGCGTCTCCTGGAACGGGGATGAAAAGGTGTCTTGTCTGTCACCGACGGAATTTAGAGCAGTCTAAATTGTCACCTAGTGCCAAATTTGTCACACACCGTTGCAAAATGACGCTAACTGCACTAGACCGCAAAAACAGAGATAAATGAAATGCAATGAGGCATTACCATCGAGCATCTTTGTTTCGGGAGTTTCATTTGCACTTTCATTTGCAGTTTCATTTGCTGGCCATGCCAAAAGTCGCAATGATTAGAACACAGGTCTTTGTGCACAAATGGCCGGAGCAGCGGGCTTGAGGCCGATGAGCACGTCAGTTTTGCAGGGTTTAGTCTGTTTACGAAAATCACTTCATCGCTTTGCTGTCCGCTCGCTGGGGCGTCGGTATCTCGAACACAACGGGCTGACGAATTTCATTCGACGGGCTGTCGAATGCCCGTCACAGGAGCGGCCGGGTGTCCGGCGAAGGAGGGGCCGCGTGTCCGATATGGGTGTAACTACGCAGACAGACACGCGTCAAGGAAACGCCGGCAGGTGTTCATGGTTGAGGCTTCTTTCAAAATCGTCAATGTCAGGTTCCATGGTAAAGGATTCTCCCAAAATCATCACCATCTGTTTGGGTTTTGTTTCAGGGCAGCTGCTGGGCTGGATGACTTTAAGCAATCCATCAGACACTGAATGATGGCTAAGACTAATCTAATAAAAATGAGAAATGAAGGCATACTTAGCATAACTAGCCCTAGAGGAGTGATGTTTCCTTTTCAGTTAGTGGGGATTATGTTTCCTAACCAGGGATGTACTTTCCTATTTTACTTATCACACTTTAAGGCGTCATTGTCATGAATCATTTTTTTGTGTTACGCCCCCCCCCCCCCTCCCTCAGCTTATTTCGAGATACTACGCCCCTGCTCCCAACCCTAAAAAGGAAGTGCGTCAAATCTGGGGACAAAATGGTTTTAATTGCATTTCGAAGGCATGGCTTGTAATTTGCAAAACTGGATCCCCGTAGCCCCACATCAAATCGCTGGCATAATCGGGGCAGTTCCCGCATTTCCTAACAAAGTCTCAATCAATTAGTGAAAAACTCATGCAATATTAATACCAGCAGATGAAAACGACATTTTTGAGCACTTCTAGTACTGCCATTTAGCCCTATATACAACATAATGACAATTAATAACGTTTTATCTCACGCCTGTCCATCGGTTAGTACGCGAAGTCCGAGATGCGGCGAGCAGTGAAAGACCCACACCAGCGATGCTCGGTTTCTTATCTCAAAGAGGCTGTGCCTCACAGTAGCAGGAAACCCCGAATGAATCCTTGACATGTGTTGCTCCAACGTCCACCGTGATCTCTGAGGCTGCAGTTCAGGTATGCACAGACATTTTTACGCTATTATCAGGGACGCCATCCAGTGCTTTCAGGGCTTTTTACGCTATTATCAGGGGCGCCATCCACGGCAGATCCTTAGGCAAGCCGCACAGCGCCTTTAAATAAAAACAGAAGTTTGGCTAAGGTCTTCAACGCAGTCAGCCTCTCACGACACTAACGAAATCAATGGCAGCCCACAGCCTCGCACTGAACCAATTCATTGCCGCGCAGTGGGCGTTCGAGCCCATCTATCTCAAATGGCACGACGCTATAAAACGCCGCATAGCAAGCTGATCACGTTCGTCGCGGGATGCTGTGGCCAGCCGCGATTCTAATGACTAGTTATCAGCAATTATTTCGCATCTTATTCTGTTAAGTTTGTGAAATGAATCCTGGCTAAAAATATGTGAAAAGCACTGATGTGAGATGCGTTGGAAAAACACTGTCGCCACTGATCTGTGCCGTCAGCATTGATATAGTATAGTTCGTAGTATATCTATGTCACCTGCTAAAAATATCCTGAGTTTGGCAGCAGCTTGTGGCTCAACTTGCCCACGTAGCGAAACGTCAACGCTTCAACATGTGCTCGACACAAGCTCATGTTGCAAGTGTTAGCGAGAACAGGCCAATACTAAGTTTTGATTTTCGTCGAACTGGAATGGTCTGTTGTAATATGGCTTGGTCTGTTGTAATTTGTTTCCATTTCAATTTTGCCACCAATTGGCTCACAAGTGTCCGTTTTTTGTCAACGATCATATCTGGGAAACCGGACGTTTTTCGCCCCTGCCTAGCAAACTGATGGAGCTGACTGACAGCAGCGCCCTGATGCGGCGATAAACTAATGAGTCTAGAATCTGCTCATGCCTATTGAATACACCTTGATAAGGTAGTATATATATATATATATATATATATATATATATATATATATATATATATATATATATATATATATATATATATATATATATATATATATATCATATTTATGTATATACGTTATATGTATAATATGCAACACACATATATATATAAATATATATATATATATATATATATATATCTATATATATATATATAATATTATATGTGGTGTTGGTGGGGTGTGTGTGTGTGGTGTGGTGTGTGTGTGTGTGTGTGTGTTGGTGTGTGGTGTGTGTGGTGTGTGTGTGTGGTGTGGGTGTGGTGTGGTGTGGGTGTGTGGTGTGGGTGTGTGTGGTGTGTGGTGTGTGTGTGGTGTGTGTGTTGTGTGTGTGTGTGGGTGGTGTGTGTGGGTGTGGGTGTGTGTGGTGTGTGTGTGTGTGTGTGTGGGTGTGGGTGTGACGAAGTAAGGACCATATTCCCAAATCCTAAAAATGAACTGATTTCTGCAGCCGTTTCAATTCCAGTGCCTGCAGAAAGCGGGTCCGGGCCTCAAATTGTTTCATCTGTGGCTCGGGCATTTTGGCAGTTCCATTCACTACTGAAGAATATTTATGGGAGGCGGAGGACGCCTCGCATATCATTCCCAGGTCTCCTGACGCTTTCGAGAACTGATGGCGAAACATTTGCATCGCGGCGAATACCGCATGGGAAAGAACGTCCGGCGCGCGGTTTAGCCGGGGCCCAGCCACGCATGCGCTGCGTAATACATGTTCGTGATGGGAGCCGGCAACACACATGCAATCTCTCTGGCCCCGCAGTCATTACGAGACTGTCGTTTCTATGGAGATCAGTCCATCGATAAAACGGAGGGGGGTCCGGCGGCGGGCCGGCAGGAGCAGACCGGCGATGTGACACAGGTCCGGGCCACGAGCGTGCGCCGGCACGAGCTCGCGTGTCCACGTGCCACGACATGGCCGCGTTTGATCGCGGCCCGCGCATCCCGCCGACCGCTCTGGCGTTTGATCAATTGCACGTGACGGGTCGCTGACGTGTACCGTCGGGGGGGGGGGGGGGGGGGGGGGGAGGGCAGGGGAAGTGGTCCAGACAGGGAGACCGTGGGACCTCCGCTAGCGCCCTGGGGCGCCTGCCGGCTACGGGGCGGAGCAGGGAGCGTCTCCCGGAGCAGCGGTGGGGTGGATACCGTCTCCCGGAGCAGCGGGTGGGGTGAGTACCGTCTCCCGGAGCAGCAGGGCGGGGTGGTTACCGTCTCTCGGGGCAGCGATGGGGTGAGTACGTCTCCCGGAGCAGCGGGTGGGGTGAGTACCGTCTCCCGGAGCAGCAGGGCGGGGTGGTTACCGTCTCTGGGGCAGCGCGATGGGGTGAGTATCGTCTCCCGGAGCAGCGGGTGGGGTGAGTACCGTCTCCCGGAGCAGCAGGGCGGGGGGGTGGTTACCGTCTCTCGGGGCAGCGATGGGGTGAGTACCGTCTCCCGGAGCAGCGGGTGGGGTGAGTACCGTCTCCCGGAGCAGCAGGGCGGGGTGGTTACCGTCTCCCGGAGCAGCAGGGCGGGGTGGTTACCGTCTCCCGGAGCAGCGATGGGGTGAGTATCGTCTCCCGGAGCAGCGGGTGGGGCGAGTACCGTCTCCCGGAGCAGCAGGGCGGGGTGGTTACCGTCTCTCGGGGCAGCGATGGGGTGAGTACCGTCTCCCGGAGCAGCGGGTGGGGTGAGTACCGTCTCCCGAAGCAGCGGTGGGGTGCGCGCCGCTCGCGGTAGTGCTCAGTCATCACCCAGAGCGCGCAGGCTCCGGCCGAGGTCACACCAGCCGAACTCGTGACAACCGTGGGTGCGAACAACAGAAAAAGTGAAATGGTGCTGAAAGAATATGTCTAAGAAAACGCAGCTGTAAAAGGACTTGAAAAAATGCTGTGCGAACCTCAGGCGTGAAACTTTCCAAAATAAACATGGCTAATTCTACCATCACCTCTCTCGCAAGTCTGTGCTACATGTTAGAGACACTGATCTGCCTCAGAACCGCTGTTGAGTGACGAATCAGCAACGAGGCGTCTTCACAAATACCAGCGTTGTGGTGCTCCTCAGCATAAAGGGGTGGGGGATGCCGTCATCATATGCGCCATCAAGTCCTGGTGTCTGGTATCCAAACCAATTCAGAGGAGCCATGGACACGATCCTTAACCCCAATCTAGCCCGCTGCAGCGAGCCCCAGACCTGCTCCTCAGCCCCAGACGGACTCTTCAGCCAACATCTGCTCCCCAGCCACAGACGGACTCCTCAGCCAAGACCTGCTCCCCAGCCCTAGACCTCCTCCTTAGCTCCAGACCTGCTCCTCAGCCTCAGCTCCAGACCTGCTCCTCAGCCTCAGACCTGTTCCTCAGCTCCAGACCTGCACCTTAGCTCCAGACCTGCTCCTCAGCCTCAGTCAAAGACCTGCTCCTCAGCCAGAGACCTGCTCCTCGGCCCCAGACCTGCTCCTCAGCTCCAGACCTGCTCCTCAGCCAGAGACCCTACAGACCTGCACCTTAGCTCCAGACCTGCTCCTCAGCCTCAGACCCAGACCTGCTCCTCAGTCCCATGCCGACTCCTCATCAAGACCTGCTCCTCAGCCCAGACCTGCTCCTCAGCCCCAGACCTGCTCCCCACCCCCAGACCTGCTCCCCGGAGCCGGCCGGTCCAGCGCCGGTCGGGGCCGGCGAGGCGGCCGCTCTGCTTCAGTTGGGCCTGGCTCGGTTGCGGCGGCGGCGGCGGCGGCCGGCAGCCATTATTAATGCGTGCCGGCAGCGGCGGCGACTGGAGCGCGGAAACAGAGCCACCGACGGACGGCTTCAATTGAATTAGCCGAGCCGTGGCGGCGGGCGGTGCTAGCCGGCGGCCGGCCGGCTGCAAAGCTCCCGGCCGCCCTGGCCCGGGAGCCGCCGCAGCTCGCCGCGTGGTGCTGCTCAGGCGGACTGCGGCACGGCGACGCCCTCAAGGCCGACACGCGCCGGCCATTCTAACGGCCTTCCACTGGGGAGAAGCGTTTGGAAGAGTGAAATGATCATGTTGCTTCAATCGAGCCACCTTATGTGACGAGTTTAACACTACTACGTGTCTCCGACGACTTCTGTCTTCTTCTGGTGTAACTGCACCGTAGGTTGAGGACGTTCCAACGTGTTTCACATTCACATGTCTACTGTGCTAAAATAAAATATATCAGCAGGTTTCTCACCGTTTCTTTTGTGCTTTTTCAGGACCCTGGAACTACGTTTGCTTCACATGCAAGGACAGCTTTCATTCGGCGTGGGCTCTGGTGCGGCACGTTCAGGAGCGGCACCAGGTCAAGATCTACGTGGAAGAATTGGCTGACTCTCGGCGCTCCCTGACTCCCTCCCCAAGGCCCGGCTCGACCTCGCCCCGAGCCGCGTCCTCCCCGCCGCCGGCGTCACCGTCGTCCCCGCAGCGGGGCTCCTCCTCGCCTCTCCGCAGTCCGCCAACGGCCGGGCCGCAGCGGTCGCCCCTCGCCGGCGGCGCCACCCCCGCCGCCGGCCGGACGCGGTTCGCCCCCGCCGCCGAGATTGGGCGGTGAGCGGCCACCGCCGGCCGGTCTCCGCTCGCCCGACGCCGGCCCGGTCAGCCGCGACTTCCGCGTGGAGACCATCCTCTCGGAGCGGTTCCGCCTGAGCCCGCCGGCGCCGAGCGGCGGCGGCGGGCGCGCGCCGCCCCCGAGCGACCTCTCGCCGCACCTGCGGCAGCCGGCCGACGCCGAAGAGTCGGCCGCTCAGGGGGCGCGCCAGCCGGTCTCCTGCAGCCCGGGGCTGGCGACGCGTCGTGAGCGGCCTCGCGCCTGCGAGTACTGTCACAAGGTGTTCCGCTTCCAGAGCAACCTGATCGTGCACCGGCGCATCCACACGGGCGAGAAGCCGTACAAGTGTCACATCTGCAACCACGCCTGCACACAGAGCTCTAAGCTCAAGCGGCACATGAAAACCCATCTGCACGACCTGGGCGGTGGCGCGGCAGGCAGCGCCGCCGCTGCCGCCGCCGCCTCCGCAGCCGCGGATGACATGTATGCCCGAGGTGACGACTCCAGCGCGCTCGACGACGACGACGACGAGCCGGACGAGGAGGACGAGATGGAGACGGCCGATGACGACGGCCCGGAAGACCTGTCGACGAGGTCGGCGGCCAGAGAGGCGAGCCCAGCTACCGACCGCACGTCGCTGGTGGGCGAGCTGATGGACAAGTTCGGCCTCTCCAGCATTAACGCCTACCGGGACGCCTATCGACAGGCTCTGAGCGAGTCGGGCAAGGAGAACACGTCGGGAGGGGTGGCCGAGCGCGCCTGCGGGCGGCGCGAGCCACCGTCGCCGCCGGCCGCGCCGCGCACGGCGTCCCGCCAGGCGGCGAACGAGCCCGAGTCTGCGCCGCCGCCGGGCCTCTGGCTGCCGCCGCTGCCGCTGCCGCTGCCGCTGCCCGGCCACCTGGGCCTCTCGTCCGCGCTGCCGTCCGGCTTCCTGCGCCACGCCAAGCTGGCGGCAGGTGGCGCGCCCCAAGCATCGCCGGAGGGGGCGCTAGGCGCTCACCGCCGACCAGTGTCGACTGACCGCCCCAGCGGACGTCTACAAGCTGCCCGCCGGACTCGACTCGTATAAGCTTCCAGGAGGGATGGATGCGTACAGGCTGGCGGGTGGTCTGGACTCGTTTAAGCTCCCCGGAGCGCTAGACGCCTACAAGCTCCCAGCCGGCCTCGAGTCGTACAAGCCTCCCGGAGGGATGGACCCCTACAAGCTTCCCGGCGGACTGGAGTCGTACAAGTTCCCGGCCAAGCTGGACCCGTACAAGCCCCCGAGCCGAGAGGAGGCCTTCGGGCTGAAGTCGTCGGCTGAACTAACCAGTGCACCGTCGTCGCCGTTGTCACGGCGTCAGCGGCGCGACACGTGCGAATACTGCGGCAAGGTGTTCAAGAACGGCTCCAACCTGACCGTACACAAGCGGTCCCACACGGGAGAGAAGCCCTACCGATGTCGCATGTGCAACTACGCCTGCGCGCAGAGCAGCAAGCTGACGCGCCACATGAAGACGCACGGCCGCATGGGCAAGGACGTGTTCCAGTGCCGCTTCTGCGGCATGCCCTTCTCCGTGGCGTCCACGCTGGAGAAGCACATGAGGAAGTGTGTGGTCAGCAAGAGTAACAAGTCCGGCTTCCGGCCGACGGTGTTGCCCAGCCACTGACCGCCACGAACTGGTGACGTCACGTTAATGCCCTGAAAACTATCCCGTGACGTCACTAAAATAGTCGTGCTGGTGAGATTGCGGTGTCTGGTGGGTTTGTGTGCCGAAGAAGTACAACTTTCTACGCAGTATTAGCGACCGGCAGCCTTAAGGTCACTTTACCAAAAACCAAAAAATGTATGCCTGCAGGCGGGTGCGTGGGACGCGAGACAAGTACCTTCATTTTTGAGTCCTGGGATGGTAGTAAACCACTTGAGTGTTCTCGTAATGTATCAGAGAGCAATTTGTGAATATCTCACCGCGTGTAGCGTTCCATTCACATATATTCGTGATCTAAATAGAACAACAGAAATCAAAGCGTTTGAGAATTGACCTCAGCTTGGTTTGAGCCCAGCGAAACCTAATGCATCACGCCGAATGACGAGACGCCAGCTGTGACTGAGAGGCTCTCCGACATACCCTGACAGAAAGCGAGTAAACAGGCGTCAGAAGGTACGAACGAACAGAAAGGTCCGAATCAACTACGGAAACACCTCTATAACAGAGCGTCCAAGCCAGGCCGCCATCCGTCGGAGGCGGGGATGGGCGTGCTGCTTGGCTGGGCACGTCGGTCTGCTGTCTTAAAACCCACCTCACACAGCATGTCAGGGTTAACACGGCGATCACCCGAAAGGTGTCTAGAACTGATCCAGATGGCCATTGTCTGTCGGGGGCAAGACAGTTGCGGTCAGTTGTCCTCAAGCTCCTGTGCAGCTGTGCAAATGCGGATTGTGTCAGGTCTGTCGTGCCCGTCGAGAGCAGGCAGCTTACACACTGACACTGTGGGACCGTCAAGACCACGGCCATGGCCTCGAGATAGCGGAGGTATCCACAGATAGGTGGCAGCACAAAGTATACGTGAAGGCGGCAGCACCATGCTTAAACGGCACGGATCTTCGCAGGGAAGAATACGAACACCTAGGAGTCAGATGGGAGTAGACCATGACACAGCTTTTGCTAATAATCAATTAACAACTCAAGTGCACTTCGAGCCTCACCTCTGAGCAGCCATCCAAAGATTGGTCGTTCCATTCCGGTAAGCATTTTAAAGGATTTCCGAGCATCAGCCATTGCCTAAACCGCAAATTGAAGTGCATATTTGCGCAATGTGCTTATGGTTGGAAACTGTGACATACTGCCCAGCGTTTCATGCCTTTGCTATGCAGGCCTCTCCCCAAATCGAACCATTAAAAAGCCGGGCAACCAATGGAGCTCACGCACGCAGTGTATGTACGCAGCGTGACCGCCGGGGGGCCGGAACAATGACGGCAGGGTCAGGAGTCCTGCTCGCCCAGGCTGCCACACCCCCTGGTACGGCCCGCTGAAAATCCGTGCCAGCGGCCTTGCTAGCCCCAGAAATCCATCTAATCAAATGTGGGAGCTAAATATTTTTACATTGATTGGCATTGCTGGCCGATAGTGCTGCCACAATGACATCGTGAGCGCAAGCCTATAGTGAGCCACCGTTGCCGCCGGCCGCGCCGCGTACCGCGTCCCGCCAGGTGGCGAACGAGCCCGAGCCTGCGCCGCCGCCGAGCCTCTGTTCTAAGCCTTCCGCGCATTGGTCAGTCACTTCAAATTGGACGCCGTATCTGTGCAAATCACCACACCTCACGGTTCACAAGCATTGAGCTGTACGCTAGTGCAAGTTGACCGAAAAAGACAGACACTAAAATCTGACGAAAATGTTGTATCAGCGGCTGAACAATGCAAACAGTCGGAATCGTTCGGTTGGATCATGCGTGTTGTTCTCTTGTCGCTGTACGATGGTCATCATTCCACGCACAATGCAGCCGCAGTTAGCGGTACGTCGCCAGGAAGTGTTTTGAACAAAAAAGGTCACGTCGATCGATGAGAGTTTTACAATGCCGGTCGCTCGTGCTCCCACAATGACGTCGTGTGCGCAAGATTGCACCTTCCGCAAACAACTCAATTATCTTAAATTGAACGCTGAATCTGTCCAAATCTCCGCTTCAGCAAGCTCCGAAACAATGAGCGACACGCTGTCGCAGGGTCGAACGATGAAACTCAAAGCCAAAATCCGAGTGCTTGTACTGGCAACTAGCAACCTTATACCAGTGCTATAGAATACACAAAGTCGCAGTCTTTAGATTCGATACTGCGCATTTCTCCCGGTCTGCCGTATTATGGTCACCACTCGATAGGTAAGCTGAACAGCAGCCATCATGCTTGGGTCGTCAGGAGGTGATCGGAACGAAAAGGGTCTTGTCGGCGGGTGAAGGATTTACCTTACCAGCCGATAGTACTTCCCCAATGTTGCTGTCAGCGCAAGCTTGCATTTGCCGCACAAAAGCAAAAACATTCTGAATCGGACGTCCGTGTCAGTGCAAAGAAGAAGGTCCCCAAGCATGCAGTGATATGATGTAGGTTAGCCAACTGAATAAAGTTGCAATCGAAATTCGACGGGTGTGTTGTACTGCCATCTGATATCCCATTGGCAGTGCCACTGAATACAGATAGTCGCATTCTTCGGACTCGAACAAAGGTATTTTTCAATCGCCGCCGCATTGTGGGCATAACTCTACGGTGGGACAAGCAGCAGGAAGCTACGCCCCGTCACAGAATGATTTTAACTGACAGGGTGATGTCGACTGCTGGGAAATTCCCGACGCTGGTTGAAAGCACTCCTAAGTGACATTGTGTGCATGGGGTTGCACCTTCCGCGTACAGCTAAAGATATTCCAAATAAGACGCTATATTTGTGTAAATCGCCTCCCCGTCCGGCCCCAGGCGTTGCGTGATACCATGCTGGTTGGTTAGCCGAATCAAACTGAGTTAGAAATTAGACGAGTGTGTAGTCCCGCTAAGTGATGTCCCTTTTCTAGCGCTATCGAATACACGCAGTTCTAATCTTTTCGTTCGAATAAAGCATTTTTTCCAGTCCACCGTATTATGGCCATAACTGTACAGGCCGGCCGGCAGCAGTTAGCGGTGGGCCTTCTAGGGTTGTTTTAAGTAAATATGTCTTGGCGGCCGATGATGGGTTGACATTGCCGGCCGATAGTGCTCACATAATGATATCTGTGAACGTGGTTGCGCCTTCCACGCCAAGTGCGGCATTTCAAGTTGGACGCCGTTCCTGCGAAAATGACAGGTTCGGCCTGCACCCAGTATCGAGTGATACACTCTCCGGGGTCGACAAAATGAAATCGAAACCAACATCGTGAAGCGTTTTGTACTAAGAACTGATAGCTGTCTACCAGCGCTACCGAATGCGCAAACTCGCAAACATACGAGTTCGACCATAAGTATCTTTCTTGGTCGCAGTATCATGGCGATCGCTCAACGGACATCCCGGCTGCAGTTAACTATGCGCTTAGTTGATATGCGCTCCATGAATTGTGATAGGTAGCTTTCCGCGCACATCTTAAAGTATGTTTAAGGGAACTCGTTCACATTTACAATGGGATTTGAACTGAAATAGCAGAGGATTGTATCAAAGGCTACATAATTGAATGTGGCGAAATAAATATTTCCTTAACCTCGGGATTACTGACACAGGAATAAGAACACAGATATAATTCAGTAGCGTCATTCTTTGTATGGCATAAGTTGGTAACCATTGTCAATCCGATTGGCGAGTGGTATGACGTCATTACTGCTACGCCATACGAGTTGACAGATGGACCAACCGTGCGCATCGCTCGGTGCGCTGAGTCCCGTGGAAACCGTGGCGCAGCTAGACAGCACGGCGTATCTGTGAAAACCGCCACTTCTGCCAGCCTCAAGTCTAAAATGATACGCTGTCGGCGGCCGACCGAACAAAATCGGAAGCCAAATCCGACCAGTATGTTGTACTGGTAGCTGATACCCACTGACCAGCGCAGCCGAATAAACACAGTTGCAATCTTCAAGGATGTTAAAAATATTGTTCACAGACTGCCGTATTAAGTCTTACGGGCTTCAGTATACGGCTGGCCGGTTAGCTATCCTACGTACAACGGTGATTTGAACATAGAAAGGTCATGCAGGCCAATGGGAGATTTACACTGCCGTCCAATAGTGCTCGCACAATGGCATGGCATGCACAAGTTTGCAGCACCTGGGCGCAAGCAAAACCTTTCCCAAATTGGACGCCAATATTTGTGGAAGTCCCCGATCTGGTCGGCCCACAAGCAGTTCGTCATACGCTCTAAGAGGAATAGCTAAGTCAAATGGATCCAAAAAACTGACGAGCGTGTTGTACTAGCAGCTGATAGCCCTATACCAGTACTATCGAATGGTCAAAGTAGAAATTACCCCAGAGGGACAGTTTTCGGTTCTGATATTCGCATTTTCCTCGCGTCACCGTATTATGGCAAAAGCTCTCCGTGCAGGCCCAATGCAGCCAGCAATGCGCCGTCAAGCGGGAATTTGAGCATAAAAGTCACGCCGTCTAATGAGATGAGGGATCATGAAAGATCGAGAGAGTGAAACGATGTAGGGGGGAACCGAATACAACTGAAATCGAAATCCGAAGAATGTGTTGTATCGGCCATAACTCTAATCATGGCCATAGCTCAGCGCGCATGCCTGCGACAGTTAGTGTAGCGAATGGTAATGCCCCGTACCGTCTATGACCCAACAAGCGGGGTTTTGATAATAGAAGTCACATCCGCCAGTGGGAGATTCTCATTGCCGGTCGATAGTGCTCCCACACTGATATCGTGTTAGCGATGTTGCACCTTCAGCTCACAAGTAAGCTTAGTTTAACTTAGACGCCGTATCTGTGGAAATCGTCGCTCCAGTTGACCCCCAAGCATTGAGTGGGGAGGGGGATGCGCTGTCTGGGGGGGGGGAGGGGAGGGGGTGGTTGCGGGGGAGGGGGCAACCAAATAAAATCGAAATGAAAATCCGACCAGTGTGCTGAGAAACCTATACGAGTGCTATAGAATGCAACCAGTGAAAATCTTCAGGGTCGAATATACCTTTCTGCAAAGGGCAGCCGCATTTAGCTATGCGACTTCAACGGGCGACGGTCAAAAGTCACGTGGATCGATGATAGATTCACATTGCCAGCCGATGGCGGCGACAAAATGTGCGTAAGATTCCAAATTCCTCTCACAAGCAAACCTCTTTTAACTTGCACGACGTATCTGTGCAATGCATCGCTCCCGCCGTCACAAAAGCGTTTGAAAAGGTGCTTGACCCCAGCCGAAAATATGATCCGCCGCCACTACATTGGGTTTGCCACTGCTGATGGAAAGTGGGTCACCCGGGCTTGCTGCTGCGCCACGTGCACATGCCGCTGCTGACGGAGCGAAACACGACACTCGGTCCCCCAAGAGCTCGGGAGTGACCGCTCGATTACCGGACCGGCCATGCCTCCTAGAGTAGTTCTACCTCGCCATGCGTCTGAGAGAGAGGACTGTTGTGAGGCTGTAGCCACGACTGCGCTGGGTCCGGGCGCCGGCGGCCTGCGGCTTTTGCGGCTGACCGGGTGGCTTATTTAGCCTGGAGCGGTGGTCGAGTCTTGAGGAGCGGTGACTGAGCCTGGAGAAGCGATTGGAGTGCCTGACATGCGCAAACGGTCCCCTGGAGCTGCGCGTCACGTGCAGTTTTCCGCCCACCCACTCAAATGTTGTTCCGTCACTGGCTACAGAGGGCCGTGCCGACACACCACCGGGCTCATACTGACATATGACAACGGACGTATAATGCATGCGACCGGACGGCAGAAGAGGTCCAGCCTAATCACAGTCGAGCACTACAACGCTAGCGCCGGTCCGCTCAGTCCCCTCTGTACTGGACGGTGCATCCTCGTGTGGGACTCCATGCCGGGCTTGTGGGAACGCACTATGGGCCAGATTGCCTTCAAAAGTGGGATTAATTCAAAAATCAGAAGTCGTCGGAATATAATTTTCGGGATGCAGACATGCTGCAAATTGAATGAAAAGTTGTGCACGAACCAATATATTTGAATATCCCTGCGCATTTACCCTCGCCAATCTGTCAAATCCGCAAAACAGGCATGCGCCGTTCACATGCAAGAAAACGGGGCGACGAGTCACTCAAGTTTAGTCAGCCGCTGTGCCTATTCCAGTGTACCTTCCTGTTCAAAAAGCAAATCGTTAGATTACTGAGGCGATTTGGAATATATCTGCGCAAAGAATAAACGCTTCAGCGGATATAACAGTTTTTGTGAGCCTGATTATTCGATGTGCATAGGGGCGATACCGTTTCACAGAAATCAAATATAGATGAAAAGATATGAAAAATGTTCCACCGAGTACCGCGATAAGTTCTATTTTGGTGTTGAGATAGAAGCATTGACTTTCGATCTCGACAATAAAAAGTTGCGCAAACTTGCGCGAAAAAACGTTATCTAGCGACAACCGAACTATGTTTCGGTGGCCTGTCATCTAGCGGGGAGAATAGTAGCTACGGCCAGGCATGCTCCTTGGGGCTTGGAAAGCACAAACGGCTTACTCTTGTCACTTAACAAAGCTAACTGTGATAGAATTAATGACTTTCCAAGCACTTGTATACGAAATTCCCTGGGGTATCGAGGTGTACACTGCGTATGAAAGCAAACACCGTCAACGCCACTTGATTTCCGCAATCGCTTCTCTCTCTCTCTCTCTCTCTCTCTCTCTCTCTCTCTCTCTCTCTCTCTCTCTCTCTCTCTCTCTCTCTCTCTCTCTCTCCTGTTGTGCCATGTGTGGCTGACCATTCCTTCCGGTGTTGTCGGAGTAGGAGTCGACCAGGAGTCATATAACATCTGAGGCTCACTTCGCTGCCTGCGAATTGCGGGATCAGATCACCTTGGGGTTACCTTACAGCAAGGCGCACGATTGGCGGTTAGTTCGCGCGTATATCCGGATCAGTGAGTGATACTACCTTTGCTACGATGTCACGGAGGTGCCTTTTTGATTTCACCCAGCTGAAGAGTGGATTGAGCGCTGTGACAGCCGGAAAGGTAAAAGCCTAATTCGAAGGCCTTGGTGTCAGTGCCACAAAGCTGGAACAATGCACACAGCTACTAAAAACATCTATAACAAAGTTGAAAGAAAGATAGGTGAAATCGAGCAGGCACACGGCAAGGTTTCTGTCGGAAGACGAGGGGTGGTTGGGGACAGAAGTCTTGGCAGAGGAGCTCTCAGCTTCCTCTTCCCGTGGTCGGGGCACGGGTGGATGGAGACCCCCTCAACGCAACGATGTTTACTCTGCAAGGCAGCGCCAAAAGTGATGAGCAATCTCCAGCATGTCCGGCAACTTGGAGTTAATACAAACCACTTGCAACTGGGTCTCAGCACTCTGCACGCCTGGATCCGGGTTTTCGAGTGCATATTCCACATCAGCTATTTTCTTGACCTACAGAAGTGGCCGATCAGGTCAGAAGGCGAAAAGGAACGTATGCAAGAGAAGAAGAAAGCAGTGCAAACAACATTTTGGGAGGGGCTTCATCTTCATGTATGCCAGCCGAGAGCTGAAGGAAGCGACTCGTCAAACGACGGCAACACAGCCGGCGGGCCCGCGCAGAGGAAGCGACCCTCGCTGAGATCACCGGGGTCGATGAGAACCTAATCCGGCACCTTTATGCTGTACTGGAAGCCGCGGTATCCGGATATGAAATAGACCCTGAGAAGTTCGGTACCTTCCGCCAGGAAACAGCCGAACTATATGTGAATATGTATCCGCGGTACATGTGCGCATACAGTTCCGATGCCAGTGGCTGTACACTGAGTACTTCTCCATGGAGCGGCCGTCATTGACGTACTGCTTCTGCCACTCGGACACTTCAGTGAAGAGGCACAAGAGTCTAGCAATACAGATTTACGATCGTACTGTGTGGACCATGCTAGGAAAGACTCCCGTCTGCATAACATCGCCGACCAGATCGGGCACCCACTGGCCAGCAGTGACGGAATTAAAAGTCATTAACCACTGTAAAGTTTTATGTTGTCTCGATTACAAACACGCTATTTCAGTAATTTCCATTGCATTTTAGCTCATCTCATAGAGATTGCTAGAGCGTGCTATGTTAAAAGTTTCGTCGGTGTTAATCTTATAACGATTGCTAGAGCGTGTTAAGTTATAACCTTTGTTGGTGTTTATCTCACAGCGATTGCTAGAGCGTGTTATGTTATAACATTCGTTGGTGTTAATATTTGTGAAGGCGTTTTATTTCATTTGTTCTAAGGAACTTATTTTATCGAACCGTTCAGACCATGCTAACGCAGTTTAGGCCAGCAGAGCTTCGGAACATTTGCACTTGACATGAAATATTAACTTCCTTCTCTGTTCTCACAATAACCTGTAAATTCTTTCGCGAAAGTCTGCATTGCTGAAATTTGAAATCTGCGTACCTTCTGGGTGCGCCGCGTGCCTGATTTTGAGTAGTAGCCCCGAAGGTGTTCACGGATATGCAGAAAGAGTTGTCCATACATGTCACATTAATCAGTTTGATTCGGGCTCAAGGTCACGCCAGGGCGAACATTGTCACGCCATATTAGGCCACAAAGCCGTTGGGAATTTGAAACAACATGGCTTGGCCGCGTAAGATCCTGCCATTGAGCCACTGCAGGTCGACATTACGTTAGGCCTGACAAGGGTGCTGCACGATTTATTTTGTCGGCATCGTCGCACAGGAAAATAGAAGTGTCGGGTAATCCAAGGTCATGGAATGATGCAGTGACATCACGTCAAAAAATTGAAATCATGGTGGGGGTTTCATTCATTCCAGAGGTATACAACGGCCTCATAACGTAACGCTCGTTGTATGAGGGGTCTATGATGAAAGCCCCCTGACGTTCTCCTGGAAGAATTTGTGAGCCAATAGGGTTAATCCGATCTTGCACCTGCACCTAATCCGACGCCTGCATGCTGTACTGGAAGCCATGGCATCCGGGTATGAAGTAAACCCTGAGAAGTTCGGTGCCTACTGCCAGGAAACAGCCGAACTATATGTGAATATGTACCCGCGGTACATGTGCACATATAGTTCCAATGCCAGTGTCTGTACACCGAGTACTTATCCATGGAGCGGCTGTCATTGACCCATTGCTACTGCCACTCGAACACTTCAGTGAAGAGGCACACGAGTCTCGCAATAAGGATTTACGAGCGTATTGTGTGGAACACGCTAGAAAAGACTCTCGTCTGCATAACACCGCCGGCCAGATCGGGCACCCACTGGCCAGCAGTGAACCTGTGATCAGCTCGTCGGCGATCAGTGTGCGGAGTCAGAGGACTGCCAGGGGCAAGAGAGCGCTGTCACAAGGGGCCCTCACCCTTCTACGAGACCCTCCCTGAGCCTCGTCATGTATACCTGAAAGCGATACTAGCGACACTGACTCCGACTAGACAAGCAAGAATCAGCGTGCATATCTGATTGATTTATTACGCCCAGTAGACACGGACCATGTGATGCTTCTGATTGTCAGTAGTTTGAAGATAATGCTTAGCTCGAATTCAGCGCGTAAAAATACCATACACACGCAATTTATTCAAAGTAAACTAGCAGAGATATCGTTTGAGATCAGTGACCTCAACTTGACCTAGAAAAAAGTCGGTAGTTTGACGGTTATGATACAAGTTGAGTGCAAATTCAAATTCTGCATAAGAAACTGGGGTGGGACAAAGGATTCTAACAAGTTATCTTCACTCACTGAATTAATCCCACTTTTGGGGGCGATCTGGCTAGTAGTGGAATGGTCAAAGAGGGGGGGGGGGGGGGTCATCGCGGGTATCGGCAGGAGGCGAAATCACCTGTCACACTTTCTCAAAGGACGCCTGTACTGGTGCGAGCGCCGGGATCTGCAGCTCTTGCGACCGCTTTTGACGGTCTCGCAGATTAGCAGCAGCGGTCGAGATAGGGTAACGGAGACCGCCTTGTCTCCGGTGGCCGAGTTGACCCTGGATTTCCGACCCGTACTCGGCATGCAGAACGATATGTGCCCCTTAAAATCGTGGTTTAGCCCAAGGCCTCCGGAGACCGAGATTTTGACCGCCTATTGGGTGCCAGCTGCGGGCCGCCGACGGGCTGAATTCCAGTGACGTCATGCGGCGGCTCGCGCAGAGTGAGAAGTGTAAGAAGATCACTTGGTGACTTTGTGCTTGAGGGGCCTGACTGGGCCTGCCCGCAGCGAAACGGCAGTCGGCTGGTGGAGAGCGCGGTGGCGCGTGGTCCGTGCGATCTCCCATAGGCTGGCTTAAGTCTCACTGGTTGTACTCAAGGTTCGCTGATTGTGGAAACACGGCTTTTTAAGTGTCTAATCCATTCGCGGCGCTCTCTGGAGCTAACGTGGTTATCCGGTTTTGTTAGAAGTTTTTTATCTTCCTCTGTAAACAAAGGATACGTCATTCCGGCTTTGTTTGGGAGGGGGCTGTCGTAATTTTTGCGCGTACTTTTCACGCTTTATTGTAGTTCAAAGTTGTATGCATGAGTTAAAATATCAGCTTCACCTATGCATAGACTGCAAGGTCTAGGAATCCTAGATAATAAGGGACTGTAATTCAAGTCATATTCAGGAAGTAACTACTGACAAGGCATGACATTACACAAGTCTGCATCAACTGCAGCATATAAATATGATATAGCTTATTGCAGTATAATCTGTTGCTGTTTGAGCATTGCTTATTGACCAATCTGGAAAAATATGACTGTGCCCAATGTCTGTATAGGCATTGATTAGTAAGCAGTCTACAAAAATATGCCTGTGCCTAATGTGTAAGTGATAATAATACACTGGTGACAATCAGGCACATGTTTGCACTAAACTTAATTTAGGTGGAATTGTGCTGATTTTTTTCTGCTGGAAGCATTTGTTGGGTTCTTGGCTCCCCATGGCCATTATACTCCATAAAACAGTGCTTTTCTATTTCTTGAACTTGGTGGTGAGTGTGCTGAGTGCCCCAGGTTCTGGGCAGAGACACTCAGGTTCACAATGTATATGCATTTAAACTGTTGCCATAATCCTTTGACCATATTTGGCATGTTTCTGTATTTTTTTTGCAGCCTAGGTTGTAGATAATTGGGCCAGAGAAAATCCAAGACACCGGAGTGAGGGGAAAAGGTGACAGCGAATGTTTGTTTCCCTACAAAAACATGAGATGATGGCATGCTTTGGGGTGGGCTTGGAGCCCTTGGTGTTAATACCAATGTTACAGAAATGTGTCATGTCTGCATCATGCCCACCACCACATTCACCCAGAGAAGAGGGTATTGTATGCTCTGGTCATGAATGTGCATCAGTATAACAAGCACTCAAGTCACTGTTCTCATGCATTATAAGCCTGAATTCCCTCTACAGGTGTAAGCCTGATGGTAGTCTTTGGGTCCTCTTGTGTCAAACTGTCAAGTAAAGGGAAGCAGACCATTCCCTTCCACCCAAAGACCAAAGTTAAGTTCTCCAACTGCGGGAATATGTCTGCAGAGCAGAGGGCAATGCTTTTAAACATATATGGGCTGCACTGTCTTGAAACATGCTTGCTACTTGCCAGTTTTGGTGAATAAATATATGCATGCTGCACAACTGCCCCCAGTTAGCATGGTATATAGAAGTTAAAATGTGTGGTCTTACCACTTTGTTTCTTCTGATTTCAGGTGAACAGGGTGCAAATAACCCATTCTTGTCATCTGGCCATCATTCTCAACTGTTAATTCTCACATGATTCCACTCCTTAGTCGTAGAAGATTTGCCGGCAAAAGGTGGGAGAACACAACATGTAACACTTAAATGCTGTGTTGTGTTCTGGGCTGCCTCACTTGTGTACCAATGTTGCTGTGATGTGAAAGATCAGAGCTGACCATAACACCTTGCCAATACTGGATGAGCAGTTAGCACCTTTGGCCCCCACACGGGGGTCTGGGTTCGAGTCCTGGATGTGCCACGGCCCCTGAGCACTAATATAGTCTCCACAGGTGTCAGTGCTCCTTAACAGGGTGTGCATCAACATGCACAACATTTTCTTTAAAAAAATAGCCTTTTGTGTTAACAGAGTGACATCTGTCCATGCCGTTCTTTTCAGTTTTGAATGCTGCTCAGGTGGCTCTTGTATTAGCACAGCCTGTGGATAGATAACCAGGATTGTCTCCTCATGTTTCCCTGCAGCCTGGCACATGTTATGTATGAGCATCATGTGTATCAACATCGTATGAAGCACGTGACGGGAAAAGCCTCTTCACTCTCAGCTGGATGTGAGACAACAAAACATGAATGCATGGGGGGTCAAACACCCTCAAATTTGTTTCATCATATGCTTGTGTTTCCTCCAGCATTGAATCAATAGCATCAGCATGGGTAATTCCATTCCTTAAAGTGGTACAAAGACCAAACACCCAAAATGCTAAAACCAAAACACGGGAGAGACCTTTAAGCCCGGTGGACATTGAGCATAGTGCAAAATGTGACCACTATGTATAGGACATTGTTAATATTCCCTCATCTCCTACACTGCATCCCCATTTTATTTGGGTGACATCATGCTTCTACTTTATTTGATGCGGGTTGCATCATACTTCTACTTAATTCGACGCACATTCATGTTTTTATGCTATCATGCATAGTGAATGGACAGTTCAGCAGGACTCTGTCTTTGCCATGCTGCCCCATGCAGGGCATGTCATGCGCCAAGTCTGCCTCTGCTAGCTGACGTACAGTTCTACACTTCCGCCCATAGGCAGAGGAACCTTTGAGAAAATGGGTGTGCCGAAATCAATTTTGGAGCCGATTCTCTTCATGCGTGATCATAGGGTTAATGGTTAGGATTGTCGGAAAGTGGGGCTGCCATGACACCCATGGACCGCCTCCTCCATTATTACGCCCATGCGACTCCGCCCGTTACGGTTACGCCTTCTGTTTGGGTGCTACATGGGAGGAAAGCTTATGGGGGGTGGGTGGGGGTGAACGCATTAGCTGTCCGCTACGATCGTCGTGCGACCCTCCCTTGGAACGATGGACGGCATTCCCGGGCGGGTTTTTGACGGTGTCCGTCACTCAGTATTATAGCATTGTTGTATCTAAGGTTGGGCAATATATTTGGTTTCAGCTGTACTGAATCCGCACTTTTTGGGAGTACGGACATCGCAGACGTCAAGGGACTTGACCGGGGTCCCCGTGGGGTTCCGGTGGCGCTCTTGGGATTCTAAGATTCTGCCGCTGTACATTGAGGAGGTTTGCTAAGCAAAACAGCCTCGCGCATCTCGAGAACGGCCACTATGCCGGCACAGCACGGTACCGCCGACGCCGCTGCTGCGGCCGGCGCACGCGCTCAGTTTTTGCGCGCCTGGTCTGATGTCTGATGCGCGCCATCCGGCCGGGCGGCACGCGCGCGCATGCTCAGGCCCGCTGGTGACTGGGCCGTCTCTGTTCGCAGGCTCTGAGCGGCCACCATGATCAAACGGTCGGGGGGTACTTGCTTGTCCTGGTCTTTGTCCACCTAGTGTTCGGCGTGTAAGTACCGTGCCGGGCGGCTGTGGGATGCTTACGAGGGGGGGGGGGGAAGGGCTGGAATCCCGCGGGGTGGCCAGAATCATGCGGGTTTTGACGTTTTTTGGGATTCATTATGGTTGCCGTGTGCCACGTCCAGTGGTGGTGCTCATGGTTTCTCCAAATAGCTTTGAGGGGGGGGGGGGGGGGACACCGGGTTTTGCCCCAACCCGTTATGATTTCGGCTCTAAATTTGATGGAAGGTTCTACTGTGCAGCCTGCAATGCGCTCATTGTAATTGCTAGCACGTGTGAATAGCCTTTTAGAATTTGGGGCGGATGTCATCTTTCCCATGTATAATATTTTGAGCGACATATTCGCACGCAATAGCTCTCAGTGAGATTGGTTCTGAAGTTTGGTTGGGGTTTTTGTCCTTTTGTAGGGTTCTGGCTCCCTCCCAGTTTGCCTGTACCTCGTGCACTCATCTCACTAAAGAATTGCGGGAAAACTCCTAACAGTAAACAGCATGTGTTTATCGAGCATATAATTTCAGCCCTATTTACATTTCGCGTGGTCCGGTTGGGCCAGACTTATTTGGTCTGGCGCGCTGAAATAGCTTCCCATCTTAATGACATTTTGTAGCTGTAAAGCTGCAAAATACAACGACAAGTTTCCGATCAGAGAAAAGCTTCCAGCCACAGAAGTCGCGCCAAATAGAACCGACAGCGACATTTTCATCGCAGTACTTGGCTCGACTCACTGTTCTCCATGTGTACCGTGCATGTGTGAAGAATCACCCGCGGCATTCGTATACGCTAGTGAAAACAAATTACCGTAGGCTCCTTTTTTGCAATGTTTGGATAATTTTCATTGCTATTCAGCTGACAACCCTGGTCCTGTTCAAACGATTCCTCACGCATTGTATATCTTGCGTGTGGAGATCTATTTCATCAATGACATATCATAAAAGGAATGCCTTCGGATATGCCGTATAAAACAACAGTTGTAGATCGACGGCGCCAGAAACGCTGCTCGGTGCCAAGATGTCTGGTACGGCTTTGCTCCTGCTCAGATGCCTGCTTGTGCTGGAGAGCACGCGGATTGCCTACTGAACGCGTCGAGGGCTTGGAGTTCTGGTCTACAGAGTGCCTACCAGCTTTGTGCGTCTCGTAAACAGTGTGGCGCAGTTACATTTGCGCCCTGCTGTTGACGCAGTTGGAAGGGCAAGAGAACCAGCTGCGGTGAACGTACTTCTGTGTAGTTTCAGCGTCATTTTTCTCGCCGTTCAGCGGCAATTCCACATGCGCGTGCCCACGTGGGTCGCTCAAGCTCAGGGATCATGAGAATTGAGCTGTGGAATTCGGAAGGCATTGGAGGCGCGCTGTTTCTACCCAAAGTCCGTGTGTGCGTCGATCAATAGTGTAGCAGCTGTGATGGCCCGAATGTTTTTGACATTGGCACACAAAAATCTCTTATGAAGTCGACCATTGTGTAGATTTTGCATGCGTGGTCTGCGCATATGGCACGCAAATGTTCAACGCAGAGTTGTACGGAGTGGAAAGAGCGAATCTGCCCACGCAAGATGTGGTGACAAGTATAACTATTCAGTTGATGTGGTTCCAACACGAACCCGTAAACACAGCCGGTAACAAGCCACACGTCTCCTTTTACGTGTCTAATCGACCGGTCTTCGTTGAAATCGCTCCATCGTATGTGGACCGTCGGGACATTGCATCTACAGCGGGCGTGGAATGGGGTGGTAAGAGCGGGGGGGGGGGGGGAGGGGGACTGTGACTCACCACCGGCTTGTGATCCGTCTGCACAGCTATATCGTGTGCTCGGTGTATGAGTAAGACGCTGCTTCTGTTATGCATGTTGAGCGAAAAGCTCCGATGAACATGGGGGGAGGGCGGGGGGGGGGGGGGCGCTTTGCCTTGCAGTCTGGACTTGTGTGTGATTCACTGCACATTTGGGTGGTGACATGCTACTGGCACTCGTCACTGACGTAACGCAGCATGCAGTTTTTGGTGCATAGGTGTGGTAATGGTGTGGTATTTTAGGGTGTGTCGGCGTGGGGGCCACTTGGCGTCCATTATGGTACATGATGTGGATTGTATGCTCCGTTTGCCATTCGAAAAGCTCAGCCGTCGGCCAGTGCCACAACGCCAGTGTGCAGTGTCTGCGTGTGCCTGGCGGCCGGTCTGCAGTGTCTGTGTCTGTGTGTCTGGCGGCCGGTCTGCAGTGCCTGTGTATGTGCTCGGCGGCCGGTCTGCAGTGTCCGTGTGTGTGTGTCTGGCGGCCGGTCTGCGGTGCCTGCGTGTGTGTCTGACGGCCGGAGGGGGTCGGACAGTGACCTGAGCCTGTCGGCAGGTCCTGGCTGACACTGCTCAAGGTCAGCCTGGCCATCGTGCTCGTGTTCTACATCGCGCTGCCGCTGGTCTACCACTTCTTCCCGACGGTGCCGCGCCACCTGGTGTTCCTGCCGTTCTGTGAGTCGCTGCCGCCGCCGCCGCCGCCGCCGCCGCCGCCGCCGCTGCCGCCGCTGCCGCCGCTGCCGCTGCCGCTGGCGGAACGCTTGGGCTTTTGTCTGATGTGCCATGAACCACGCTTTTGCGCCAGCTTGTACGCCACATGTGCTCCGAAGTGTACACAAGCTCACACTTGTATACACACAATCGAGTGTGCTGTGTGCGCCCCAAACCCAACAGAGCTGACTATGTGGCGGGGCTCCTGCTGGGGTGCCGGTAGTGTAGTGTTTAACGCACGCGTTAACCACTGCGTGCGTGAAACCAGAGGTACGGGGTTCGATTCCCCGCGGTGCCCGCCTTCCCTGCCAGGGCGAGAGGCAGGCGACACCATTTAGCCTCAGCAGCTGAGTGCGTCGTAAAGCCCCAATGACATGACACACGGGCTCCTGCTGCGGCGCTTCTTGAGTAGTACGTGGCGCCGGAAGCCCACATCCGTCGAACGTTTCGTTGCGTGCATAGACGCGCGCGTAGCCCTTGATGTCGCCTTGCGGCCATGGCCCGGAGCCTGCGACGCCGTGATGACCGACGATGATCACACCCTGTCCCAGTGACGGCAGCAGTGGCCTCCGGCCGGGCCGACTGACCTCCGGCCCGCTTAACCCCAGTCCGTGACCCGTGTCGTGTGGCCGACAGTGCGATGGCCCCGGGGCGCGAGCTTCACCCAGCCCGCACCTAACCCCAGTCCGTGACCCGTGTCGTGTGGCCGACAGTGCGATGGCCCCGCGGCGTGAGCTTCACCCAGCCAGAGCTCTCCGGCCTGGCGGCCGCGCGCAACTTCTACGTCACCACCACGGACGGGGTGCGGCTGGGCGTCTGGTGAGTGGCGAGGCTCCGCTCCCCGCCCCGCCCGCCGGACACGCTCGGGGGCCAGCTCTGCACGCCGCAGGACCTCAGCGCGCGGGACGCTTGACACGCCCCGGGCTGTCGCCGCCGCCGTCACTGTGATGTGGAGCGGGCCTGGTGGCCGTCGTGTTCTCGTTTCTGTCCGATCGGTGCATGCCATCCGCACTGACGACTGCTTGGTGCCGGGGCTGGTCTGCAGTAGTCCCCACCGCGGCCGGCCGGTGGCGACTCCCGACACGGCCGGACCGGACTGGACCTAAGCTGACCTGACCTGACCTGACCGGTGACCCGGCCGGCAGGCACATCCTGCCGGGTCGGTACGCCTCCTCAGTGTCGGCCGACATCACTGACCCGGCCGTGTTCGAGAGTCAGCTTAGCTCGGGCGTGCCCATCATCTTCTACAACCACGGCAACTCGGGCTCGCGCGCCGGCCCGCACCGCGTCGAGCTGTACAAGGTGCTGCGCCGCATCGGCTACCACGTGGTCTGCTTCGACTACCGCGGTGAGCGGGAGGCAGGGGTCTTGCAGCGCGGATGGCGCCGCCCACCGACCGGGAACAGTCCCGCACGGGGTCGGTGGAGGTTCAGAACGGGCATTGTATAGTCCACGTGGCTTGCTGCTCAGTCGCATGGTACGCCGACCCGCGCTCTGACGGCGCCGTCGGTTTGCAGGGTACACCGACCCGCGGCCTGACAGCGCTGCCCAGGTGCGGGGTACGCCGACCCGCGCTTTGACGGCGCCGTCCGTTGGCAGGGTACGCCGACCCGCGCTCTGACGGCGCCGTCCGTTTTGCAGGGTACGCCGACCCGCGCTCTGACGGCGCCGTCCGTTTGCAGGGTACGCCGACCCGCGCTCTGACGGCGCCGTCCTTTGGCAGGGTGCGCCGACCCGCGCTCTGACGGCGCCGTCTGCTTTGCAGGGTACGCCGATTCGTCGCCGGTGCCGCCCAGCGAGACGGGCGTGGTCGCTGACAGCCGGTTCATGTACAGCTGGCTGCGTCAGCGGGCCGGCCGCTCGCCCATCATCGTCTGGGGCCACTCGCTCGGCACCGGGTGAGGGGAGGCGACGCACGCTCAGCTGCCACCCGGCCTCGTCCTGCCGATCAAGGCCGCCGCGCTACTATGCGAGGGTTGTCGTTACACTGAAGTGTAGGGATCCCTGGTATGGATGCGCTTTCCCCGTATACTGTGATTTAACTCGCATGTTTCCTTCCCTCTTGATGCTGATCGGTGGGCAGGCAAAACTGTGATTTGTTTTCGCCGCGTAAAGCATTCACGAGTCGAAAACAGAATCGTGTGCGGGCACTACGTGCTCACCGCTGGGATGACCTGCTCTTTAGCTGAGGGCGTACGCGAGTGCTGAATGCTCCTGAGTGTATAGGGCCGTGCTAGCTGGCGGCACTGGACGGGTCATCCAGTGCCGGCCTGTGACGGGATGCGCGGCAGTGCGGGACGACTCGGCGCCGGCCGCTGACCCGGCCCGCCACCACAGGGTGACGTCACACATGGTGGCTGACCTGTGTCGGGAAGGCGACCCGCCCACGGCGCTCGTGCTCGAGTCGCCCTTCAACAACATCCAGGAGGAGGTGTCCAACCACAAGTTGGCCTCCGTGAGTTGATCCAGCCGGGCTCTGTCGGCTCTGTTTTGCCGCCGCGATTCGTGGTGCGTGGACGTCTGGTTTGTCCACACACGTTTGGTGCGTGGAGCTGCTATTGTTGTTTGGTTTTGAAAAGGTTCGTATCCATGGACACGAATCATTATACGTGGGGAAGGCATAATCGTTACGTTATGCATGCACGTTATGAGTACAAGCGTTCTATTTTGGTGTTACCAGAGCACCTGAATGGTGGTTAACATCAGTGTTATCTCGCACGAGGAATCTCTACATGCTCAACCCTTAAGGATAGCCGCCCTTTTCCGCCCGCCGTTCGCCGTCTGCCGCTGACGTGCTGCGTGGTGACGCTGTGGCGTCGGCCGCGCGCGCAGATCTACCGCAAGATGCCCGGCTTCCGCTGGCTGATCCTGGACCCGCTGATCGCTCACGACATGGCGTTCGAGAGCGACCGTCACATCGCTAACGTGACGGTGCCGATCCTCATCATGCACGCCGAGGACGACCTCATCATCCCGTACGAGCTGGCCGTCAAGGTGAGAGCACCGGTGACGGCCGCCGCGCCGGCTGGGCGGAGCGCCGCCTGCTTCGGCAAGCTCTCAAAGGTCGGAAGAAGTTTAGCCCACGGCCGTCCCACTCGGCAGCAGCACGTTGTCTTTCAGCTGGTCATGTTAACGTGGCCGTGGCTTTGGGCGTTGTGAACATGGTAGTGCCGGTGGCAGCGATTGTGGTCGTGCCGGTTTCTGCCCGTACTCCGGGCCGTGGCGGCAGCTGCGCGCGCGTCCGTGACTGTGATTGGGACCTCGGCCGTCGCTGGACTGCTACATCGACTGTGATAGGCGTGTGTCCTCCATGTGAACATGACTCTGGCCGCGACTGTATCTGACCGTGGCCTTGATCGTAGTCGGGATCGTGATCGTGCTTGGGCGTGACTGTGGCCGTAACTGTTGCTGGGACCGTAGCATGACTGTGAATTTGGCTGTCACTGTGACGGTGACCATGGCCATGGCCGTGGCCGTGGCCGTGGCTATGGCTATGGACGTAGCCATCACGGATCATGGCCATGACCGTGACGGTGACGGTGACCGTGACAGTGATTGTGACCGTGGCCATGGCCGTGGCCGTGACCGCGACCTGTTACCGTGACCATGACCGTGACGTTGACCGTGACCGTGACAGTGATTGTGACCGTGGCCGTGGCCGTGGCCGTGGCCGTGACGGTGACGGTGACGGTGACCTTGGCCGTGGCCGTGGCCGTGGCCGTGACCGTGACCGTGACCGTGACCGTGACCGTGACCGTGACCGTGACCGTGACCGTGACCGTGACCGTGACGGTGACTGTGACTGTGACTGTGACTGTGACTGTGACTGTGACTGTGACCGCGACCGTATCTGTGGTCGTGTTGCAGCTGCACCGGGCGGCGCTGCACCACCACCCGGCGGATCGGATCACGTTTGAGACGTTCGAAGCGCGTTACCACTACGGGCACAAGTACATCTGCCGCAGTCCTCGCCTGCCGGATATCGTCAGGTCAGTAGAGGCAGGTCGCCGACCCGGCCGCGGGTCAGAGCGGTCCGGCGCGGCACGCCACGCCGGCGCAGAAGCCCACACAGGGTACTGCGTGTAATGGAGAGGAGGGGAGGGGGGGGGGGGGGCAGCAAACAGTGTTGTCTGGTAGCCATGGGGACTGTCACCAATACCAAATCAGGAACTTGATAGGAAGGAGTAGTATACAGATGTCACCCTGCTTCTTATGTGCAATAAATTGGTTTCGCATGTTTATGTGGCGTAAACGGTTCAAATCTAACTGTTTTGTCGGACGGCATTTTCTTCCAGATCTGCATCATCTGTTGCGCATAACAATCACCTTATCACGCACCTTGGATCCCAGCATGGAGGCCAGTTTGATGGATGCCCTTTGTCGGCAAAACACAGTAACTTTACTGTATTAAATGTCATATATGTACACACTTGGGATAGTAATGATGTAGAGGTGTTAACAAAGCTAGCTCAGGTTACTGAATGCACAGTTGAATGCCGTGGCTATCATGGTGCGTGTGCATCGACTGCCACGTTTTCCGTACGTAGCATCAGCGTCGTTGCGGAACAGGCGGGTTGTTTTCCACCGTGCCCCGAATATAAACGCGCAGGCAGTATGACAGGCTTCAGCTATGATCGGCATTGCACCCGGTCCTGACTCTACCTTCGGAAGCAGAGAGTTGATCGTCGTATTGTCCCCTGGCTGACACGTGACAAAGTTGACAAGACAAAGTTGACAAGACGACAAAGTTGCACGCGAGGCGAGACCGCTGCTGAGCCTGCGTTAGCCTAATTTTAATGCGGGATCATTAATGCAAGATTACTAATAGATATAATAATATATTATATAATAATATAATAATATAGTATAATAATATAATATAATAAAAAAATAAAATTAGCCTAATTTTGATGCGAGATCATTAATGCGAGACCTGCGTCAGCCTAATTTTACAGTCTGCCATTCACAAACGCACAAGACAAGAATGCAAAGGGTCAGGCCAGGTCAGCAGAGATGCGTCTCCTGCGCAGGTGGGGGTGCTGGTCATGCTCACTCTGTCCAGAGGGGAACCCCACCGTCCCCCCTTGGTCCGGGCTTCGCGCTTCCTCTTATCTCTCTCTGACTCCCCATCCAGCAAATGAATGGCCAGGTACAGAGTGGGGTGACACGAAACACTACGCCGCCATCACGTGAAGGTACAAGACAGAATGCGCCGTCACCAGGCGCCAGCCCGCACCGATGGGCGGTCTGTGTGACGGCGCCTTCCCATGCACACCGTAGATGGCAGCACGTATTGTACCTCGTTCATTTGTATATTTAGAAGATCGGGGTCGCCCAACACTTTTTTAAGGCAGTCATGTAGCATATTATGGCAGCTCTAATTCGTGTGATTGCTTCTTTTAATAATGATGCTGGTAAGTTGTGTTTGCTCCTTGAAATGGAGTTCGGAAAAAGCAATGGCTCTGACAAACCTGTCTTCTCTTTCAGGGACTTCGTCAACAAGAGCATTCTTTGGCATAATCAATGAAGAGGCCAACAAATAGTCATCAGTTTTATTCCAGTTCACGGGCCTGATCAACATTTAACGGTCTTGGTTCCGACCTCCTGCTAGTATTCCACGATGCCTCGGTTTAACGGCATCGTACGCCTACTCTTGCCTTGTCAAACCCCCGCACACTGCATAGACTCGTGTATTGCCTAATCCTAACACGGATCCCGCGAGCGCACAGTTCCCGTACGGCGGAGACCAAAAGGCTTCTCGGCGCTCCGCTCCGGCACAGCACAACGAACCGGCGCACGCGCCCCGCTCGCCCGCTGGACAGGGGTGGGGGGTGGGGCCGATGAGTGCGACACGCGACCGCGGTAGGTGCCGCCGCCAGATGGTGACCGGTGACCGGTTGTCCCCGTGACGTCATCATGATACTGCTGTCATATCGGAGACGCCCGCGTTACCTGGGAGCCGGGTGTTTCCTTTCAGCGCTAATCGCGTGTAGCTGTGTCCCGGAGCGATAGCCACCTTCAAATTGGGGACGGACGCCTGCTGAGTCCATGTGCATAGTCATCGGCTCGACCATGCACACAATGTATGCGAATTCGGTTGCATGAGTGTTTGATAACAGTTGCCGTTCTTTCATTTTGGGTGGGAGACGTGCTTTTAGCGGCGGCGCGTCATTGATGACCGCGTGCTCAGTGATACCGCGATTTCCATGACCGGAGACGATACTGCCGCTGGCCGATGACGGCCGGGGTCCTCATCGCGGCGGCTCCCGCCTGGCGGAAGCCACCGCGTACCGCTCCACATCCCGGCCGTGTCGGCACAGCCGGCCGACCCCGACGCCTGGCGAACAGCGCGGGATACTCTGTCTCGCTGTGATGTGCCTCAGTGTTAGTCAGTTTGCTGGCTTGCCTCGTGTGGCTGCAAGCAGTGATGAATGATAGCATAATGTTCCTGATTATCTCGCGGGTGGCGCTGTTTTATTTTTAGGGCTTTAATAAAGTATCAGCAGTGCTAAAGTTTCTGTTTGAAGGGAGCCGCCGCGTGGATGGTCTGTGTACAGAGCTCAGCTCTGTCAGACTTATCTCTCTGAGGAATATGGCGACTCGTTTGGAGGTAAATGGGAACCGGTGAGACTCGGCTCGATGTAAGTAGGAGTCCGCGCCTTCTGCCAGCGCAGGTTTAACCAATCTCTTTAAAACAGTTGATATCTGCCAGAACCGATGCCACGCGATACGGTCTGGCATGATGTTCTCGGCGGTGGAATGCTGTGTCTTGAGGAAGGGTGTGCTACAGGTCGATCCGTGCTACGTGCCTCCGGATTAACGCTGGACTACCATCAGTCAGCTGTGGGGGTGAAGTTTTTCTGTGGGTGGGCAATTGCGATGAAGCTCTCCGGCGTGTGAGAGCAAATGTAAATACACTTCTCTGACGCTCACATTGCATTCGGGAAATGTGCCATGGTGCACTCATGCACGAATTACTTTTTTAACCGTATCGCGGCCCCTGCCATCCCCGCGGTACCGACGTCACTTTCACGTCACCGGAGGCGCTTTCACCCGCCGCCGTCCTGTCGTCCGCGTCGGCTTTCGGGTCAAGGCCGTTTATCGCTCACAACCCCGCAGTCGCCGGAGAGCGGGTGTCGTGCTGGGGCGTGCGCGGTGTTGTCGGGGTGGGCTCCGGTCAGGAGTTGTCCAGGAAAAGGTTCTAAATATTTGGGAGCTTAAACTGAGGTATACTTAAAATGCTGAACAATTGTCGCAAGGTCGCCTGTGGGCTACAGTGGACTAAATTACACCAGACCGTGCTTAGGCAATGCGCCCGAGGTTGAGCATATCGGTTGGAAGAAGAGGGGAAGCTGCCTCAACGCCTTTGCCTGAGATCACTGAAAAGTATCCTCATCTTAAAACGCACAAAGACCTGTATGAATTTAGCCTACAAAATGTAAGTTGAAATTGTCATTGTTAAGCACCATTATGTGAAATGGTACATGTACTGTGTTCTGAAAGAAATAGGATTGGCTTTGCACTCAACTCAGCCCTTCATATGTATGTTGTGGTTGTGCTTATGCATTTGACACAATTTTGTGATGAATAGATGTGTTCAGGCAATGTGTACTTCTTTTCCTGCCAGGCTCTCTGTTTAAATTGACCTCAGTTGTGATCCACACTATATCGCATGCCCACATGCTAAATTGGAAGGCCGCAGGTGATGTGCAATCTGGCCAAGGCGCAATGTTGTACATTACATGGTTAATCATATCTCATCAACCATTAAGTCATAATGCATGAATAGTTAGTGCTGATCAGGGTCCAATATTTTAATGCTTTTCAGCCCTAGATGCATTAGGTAACACTGCTCTTCCACAGCCCACAGAATTTTGGGGTGAGATTGCCAAGTCATATTTGGAGTGGATTGAACCTTTCCACACTGTCTCAAACTGTGATCTTCCAAATGGGAAGATATCATGGTTTGAAGGAGGAAAACTCAATGCATCAGGCAAGTAAATAGGCTTTCTTTATGAGGTTTGACACAGACCCGCTTGCAGCTCTACCACCTAATGTCTGCAATATTCTATGGATACAGAAAGCATCACAGTGTGTGCTGCAAATAATGTGAATTGTCAATTTTTAACAAATCTTATTCAAACCTTTTGAAGGGATGGATTTCAGGAATCAGAGATCATACTAAGCAGTGCTTGCTATGTGCGCCCTGGCCCACACCACCCAATCACGCAATTCCATGTCAAGGGCAAAATTTGGTGGAGAAAGCTTAATGTTAACTGACCTTTAGGGCAGCCTATGCAAGACAACTTAATATCAAGGGACCTTTAGCAGTGGGGGGGCTGATCAGAAGGCAGATGCTCAAACCAACTGAGCCACAGGGATGGACAAAGCTGCTTTCGATCTGCTGGCTCATCACCTGCCAGTGCATATACTACCCTCTACTCACCTCAGCCATCAGTAAAATGTTGGCCATGGAGCTGTCCACCTCAGTCCACAGTGAAACAGTGAACTCTATGGGTCTATGGTTATAGCACACCCAACTCTCCACTCAACCATGTAGACTAGTAAAGGTGATTAGCGACATCCATAACTGATCTGTTTGGTATTCAACATACCGCACTAGTGCAGTTGGCTGTGCCAGCTATGAATACAGGTCATATGCACAGATCGTGGTCAATGACACATCTTGCAGTGTTTCAGTGTTCAACATCATCTGAATTACACTTACAAATGTATGGCAGGTGGCAGTCTCATGCTTTCCTCACTGTGCATAAAGTGCACTGGGGCACAGTGACTCATCCTGCACACGCGTGACCACCGCGCCTGTCCACAGTCAACTGCGTGGACCGGCACATGCGCACAGTGCCCGACCAGACGGCGCTCATCTGGGAGCGAGATGAGCCGGGCACCGAGCTGCGCGTCACCTACCGCCAGCTGTACGAGCAGGTCAGCCGGCTGGCCTCGGCGCTCCTCCAGCACGGCGTGCGCCGCGGCGACCGCGTGGCCATCTACATGCCCACCTCGCCGGCGGCGGCCGTGGCCATGCTGGCGTGCGCGCGCATCGGCGCCGTCCACTCGGTGGTGTTCGCCGGCTTCAGCGCGCAGGCACTGGCCAGCCGCGTGCAGGACGGTGAGCGCGGCGCGGCCAGGCAGCCTCGCCCCTGGCGGCGGCGGGCCACCGCTGCGGCGCGATGCGTTGCTTTCGAATGGTGCTTTGTCTTGCTTGTTTTGACTGGGTGCTGTGGCCAGGGCAAGAATCATTCGTTGAATCGTCCTCACTAAGAACAAAGTGTGTATTCAGAGAAGAATGCGATGGATTTAGTCTTTTCATGCTGGTGTGTGAGCCAGCTGTAACATGGAAACCCACAGCAGGGATGAAGCGCGACCAAAGGCACACACCACCTCCACCTGTCTCCTCCGGATCCCATGCACATAGACATCTGGTAGGCAAAAGCTCGTCACCAGCGGCCTCCGCGCTCCCCCCCCCCCCCCCCCACCCCTCCCCCGATGCTCACCGGACGCCGCCGCCGCCCTGCAGCGGAAGCCGAGACCATCATCACCAGCGACCAGGCCGTACGCGGCGGCAAGGTGATCGAGCTCAAGAGGATCGTCGACGACGCGGTGGCCCAGTGTCCGGGCGTCAAGCGCGTGCTGGTGTCCACTCGCACGGGCGCCGACGTGCCCATGGGCGCCATCGACATACCGATGGAGAAGGTGCGTGCACGGACCGTGACGCAGTGGCGGCCGCTTGGCTGCGGTGGTGGCGAGTTAAAATGGATGCTGCATCTCAGACACAGCGGGATAGGTATGCGGTTTGAGACCAAAAACACCCTCGGTGACCAGTTGTTGAAAGCGTTGCTTTACAGCTTGAAACGGGCTTCATGGTAGTGCTATTGCGAGGACACGAATCATGGTATGTGTGATCGTGTCTAGTGCGGAAATTCAAAACGGCAGATGGGACTTGCACGTTTATTCTTTAGGATGGCGGGACTACCTTTTTCGGAGCCAGGTTTCAGATATTCAATGCTCTTTTCCTCCCAAGATCCAAATGCACACCAACTTCTGCACTTCACCCCAAATATGGATCTATCGTGTCAGTTGCACACTGGCTTGCAACCTTGTGACCCTCGATCCGTTGCTGACTGGTGACCTGATGACCCCCAGCCCGGTTTTGACCACTGACGTGGTGACCTTGGCCCGACGCGAATTGGTGACCCTCGCCCCACTGCTGACTGGTGACCCGGGCCAGGTGTCTGCGGACCCCCTGGGCCGTCTTCTCCTCACTGGTCCCCTCCGGCCAGGCGATGGAGGCGGCTCGGGCCGAGTGTGAACCGGCCGCTATGGACTCCGAGGACTTCCTCTACATGCTCTACACGTCGGGCAGCACCGGCAAGCCCAAGGGGCTCACCCACAGCGTGGCCGGCTACTTGCTGTACTGCATGTTCACACAGAAGGTGAGCGGACCGCCCACACAGCGGGACGGCAGGAGAACGGGGGCTGCATGGCCAGATCACGTTGGTACCAGGGCTTGAGGCCGACCGTTGGTTAGCTGCTTGGCGGCTATACAGTATAGATGTTTCAGTGACTGCATGGCGATTTTACCGATTAATGCCAAATATGTTATGATCAAGTCCGTTACGATGAGTTGCAGTATGGCGATTGAAATTTGATGCGCTCAAAAACGGCAGGTTTTGCTGCAGGCGGCTTCACATCCATGGGTTTGTATGACAGTCAGTGCAGCGGGGCGGTTGGATTCAGAGCCGATCACGCCGTGGAGCCAGCGTGTCGCTAGCCACAGTGGCCGCTGCCGGCCGGTTGACATGTTGGTACAGGCGAGATTGGCGTCCCCCCCCCCCCCCGCCAGTGACCGGTGGGTGTGACGGAAGCCCGGGGACATCGAAGAGCGGTGACAGGGAAGAGAGCAGGGAGGGGACGTCGATGCCGCACCGAGCACTCTCTTGAGCGGGACTCTGCGTCCCCTCACCAGAAGAGCGCCGTCTCTCGGGCGGTATCCTGAGAAGCGGAAACGGCACTTAACTCCCAGGTCGGCTGCGAATAGACCTCGTGGGAATACCGTGTCCACGCATCCACCAGGACCGCAAAGCCCACCACAACAGACCAATACCACCTAACTATGATCTGTCTCGGTTTTTAGCGTCGGTACCACTGTCGCCGGGCTCGTGGGCTGAATTCGGTACCGGCCGGGTTCCCCAGCCGGTGCTCCCTAGTTGGACCGGATCGAGCTGACGTTTACGACGGCCGGCTGGGCCGTGCACTGATACAGCCATGTAGTATCTGACGGCTCGAACGCCACCGACGGAAAATCATTCACGCAATTCAGCGTACTGAGTTGACGGACTTGTGGTTTTGCAGCACCCAATCCTGCACGCGTAGTCGGATCTCAATCAGTGAAAAAGACGAAACTATAAAACTGCAAAAAAGCAATACCAAAACAAAACAAGTGAACATTGATTCGGTAGCACCATCATTGGGTTCATCTGGATATGGCCCAGTGTTGCCCCCCCGCCGGGGCTGTGGGCCATCTGCGCGTGCTCGTCTAAATGACACGCGGTGCCCGCGTGGGACTGTTACTTATATTTGCGTTTGCCGAGTGCGGTGCCGTGTTTCTGTAGATTGCGCCGGCCCATTTGCGATTCAGCCGGTATCTCGGGACGATAGCCGCCTCGGCCGTCTGATCACCTGCCCCTGGCCTGTGCGTTTTTATATGCGCACAGCATGGCTACCACTCCCTCCCCCCCCCCCCCCCCCCCCCCCCCCCCTGAAGTCGAGTGTACGTGAGCGGCGTTGGCAACGGCTGCCGAGCAGTTGACATGTGCTGCGTTACATGCGTTTCATTTCATTTTTAGTTCATGTCAGCGACCGAGGGGATGCGCACGCAGTTCACACGGCTGACGCAGTGTACAGGGCGGTCCATTCACACGGGTTCACGTTGGGCTTGCGGGAATGGTTTGTCTTCTTTACGTTAACCGCATTGTGGGCTTAGTCATTGTTTTGGAGTACGCTGGGAAGGTCTATAGCCGCCAACACCGAAGCCATGCAAGGCGTCACCTCTGTGGCACAAACACGCGCATCACGCATTTTGTGTTCTGATTCTGTTTGTGAGCACTACTGTGGTGTTCACGCCCACCAAAGACCAAAAAGATCCTTCGTTTGATAATTTTCCACGCACACAGCAGTTGGTCGAGTCTCGATGATGAACGGTTCGCGTGGCTGTAGATCGTGAAATATTTCCATCTGCATCGTCGCGATAGGCCGTCTGTTTACATGTCACTGTGTGCCAGCGTTTCAACGAACCATTACTGTAAGCAGTGACTGGGGATCCCGTGCGATATGTGGGCTAAGACCCTGACGTTCGACGCTCGACCCGCGTGTACACAACACGTGCTGGAGCCGGCGAGGCCGCGGGCGCCCTGCTCGGAGGAACTGTTTCTACCAATCGCTGTGGACGCGCTGCGCACACGCTGGGATTTCGCGATTCGCCCCGCTAAGCAGTTCTGCCGCATCTTTGCACGTTTGGCTGAGGCGTTATGCCACTTGGGGGTTCGCGACGCATCTGGACCTCCAAACATACACGAATGATTCCTCTGGCAAGCCCCCTCCTCTCCTGGCGGCTTAGTTTAACAGACGTTTGATATGGCTCGCTCCCTTTCAGCGCGCCCTTCACTCGAACCCTGCTTCAACACACTTGAATGTGAACTTTTCCGGCGCGTTTTGCCTGTGCCTTGTTTCCGCACGCGTGTGGCCAAGGTCCGTGTTTCGGCACGTTCTTGACCTGTGGTGTCTCGTTTCAGCACGCGTTCGACCTGCGGCCGGGTGACGTGTTCTCGTGCGTGGCCGACGTGGGCTGGATCACGGGGCACAGTCACGTGGTGTACGGCCCGCTGGCGGCTGGCAGCACGGCCATCCTGTTCGAGAGCACGCCCGTCTACCCGGACCCAGGTCAGTGGACCGGCCGACGCGGCACGGACGGGCCCGTCTACCCGGACCCAGGTCAGTGGACGGGCCGACGCGGCACGGACGGGCCCGTCTACCCGGACCCAGGTCAGTGGACCGGCCGACGCGGCATGGGACACCCGTCTTGGACCGGCTGACTTGGCCCGGACGCCCGTCTACCCGAGCCCGTCTACCCTGACCTAGGTCAGTGGACGGGCCGATGCGGCCCATGCACCCGTCTACCGGGACCCAGGTCAGCAGACCGGCTGACGTGGTCCGGACACCCGTCTACCCGGACCCAGGTCAGTGGACCGGCTGACGTGGTCCGGACACCCGTCTACCCGGACTCAGGTCAGTGGACGGGCCGACGCGGCACGGACAGGCCTGTCCACCCGGACCCAGGTCAGTGCACCGGCTGACGCAGCCTAGACGCCCGTCTACCCGGACCCGTCTACCCGGACCTAGGCCAGTAGACCAGCTGACCCGAACGCAGGGCCAGCTGTGTGCGAATCTGTTACCAGGCTGGCGGGCCTTGTACATTGTGCCCAAATATAGCGTATTGGTCTGCCCACCGACGGCGGTCTGAGCGAAGCGTTCGGAGTAGCAGATACCAGGCCTGTGCAGTGTAGCCGACACGGTATTTACATTGAGCGAGGCCACTGGCCGGGCGGCTTATCGCTAAGATCTGCAATACACTGAGCGCTCGAGCTCGAGCTCGCGTGTGCTGCGCTCGGCGACCGCCTTGCGTGCAGGGTCAGAGTGGCTGCTGTCACGAACCCGGCCGGCTGGAGCCGCCCCCCTCCGGACTGACCCAACGGCCGTCATGGATGCCTGATGGTAGCCATGTGCGCTGGACTGATGCATTGGGCGGTCATTGCCGCTGCAGCGTGAGCGGGACGCCTGCTGAGCGGACGTCTGAGCGGAGCGGTCCGGCCGCCCAGACATCGGTGACGGTCGTGTGATGGATGGCGACCGTTCCGCCACCCCCTGCCGCGGCGTACCCTGATGACATGGCCGGCGTTGAGTTGCACAGGCGCCTCGGAAGTGGGCTGGTCGTGTGGTCGTGCCAGATCGTTCCAGCGCCGCTGGAGTGACAAGTTCTATACCAGCGCGTGTGCATGCGTTGCGTGAGAGCTGACACCACTAGTGACCCGGAGAGCTCACTGTGCAGCGTTTGTAATGCTGTGCGAGCCCGTCACCAGACCCCCACGGTGCTGTTCCTGACGCTGCCGGAGCGATTCGTGTGCTCTCGCCAGCCGATACTGGGGGTAGTGCGGCCCTCCCAGTCAGTGGATACGTGCGCGCCTGCCGTCAGGCCGGTACTGGGAGATGGTGCAGCGGCTGCGGCCGACGCAGTTCTACGGCGCTCCCACCGCGCTCCGCCTGCTGCTGAAACACGGCGACAGCTGGGTCACCAAGTGAGTGCCGTGCTGGGCTCCGCTCCGCTCCCCTCGCCTCGCCTCCCCTCGTCTCCCTTGGCGCCCGAGTCCGCACCTGGCGCCGAACGCAGCACCGTCGCCCGGCTGGTTTCCGGCGCAGAGGACCTCCACACGGTGTCCTGATCGTGATCGACCCAACAGATGTGCCACGGGAATCGTGTTGACCGTGTCCTGAATAGATCCGGCCCGTTGTTACCTCCCACTGGGCGGCTGGGTTAGTGCTGCTGGCGGCTGGGTTAGTACTGCTGGTGGCTGGGTTAGTGCTGCTGGGATGTTGTACCGCACGACTCCGCGTCAATTTTGTTTGAGATTCCGAGACTCAGTCCAACCAAATACCTCCAGTTCTGCCGCCAACACAACTTCCTGTCTAAAACGAAATACTTTTGTCACGTTCTTGGACAGTGGGTCGTGCTTGGTTTCATCTTTGCGCAGCACAGTAACTTCAGGCCATCACGCCTAAAGGAACACCTCACCCCGATAGCTCGCCGCAAAGCGATTTAAGGTATGAATGTGTGTTCCGGTGCTGGAGGTGCGCGCAACAACCGTTGGCCGGTTGTGTGGCCGCTGACTGGGCCGCCGCCGTCGCCGCCACAGGTACGACCGCTCGTCGCTGCGCGTGCTGGCCTGCGTGGGCGAGCCGCTCAACAACGAGGCGTGGCACTGGTACCACGAGGTGGTCGGCGACAAGCGCTGCGACGTCGTCGATACCTGGTGGCAGACAGGTGAGTGCCGGACGTGCCGCGGCCCGGGCCCGAGGGGACCGAACACGTGACGGCGGCAGGGCACCGCGCACACCGGCCGCCGCGCCGATGGTGGGGCGCACAAGACGATCGAGGCGCGCACAGCGACGGACTTGCCTGGTGTCGCCTGGCGGCGGAACGTGGACGCTGTGACGGTATGTCGGCGATGTCGGCGATGTCGGCGAGCTTGGCGCCGCCTGCGGTGACCGGCTCTGCGGCGCTGTCGGCAGAGACGGGCGGCGTCTGTCTGGCAGCCGAGGCCGTCGGAGGCCGGCGCCGAGATTGTCCCCGGCATGCCCATGCGGCCCATGTACGGCATCGAGCCCGTGCTGCTCGACGAGAAGGTACGCCGCCGCCGACCGCCGCTGACGCGCCGCACCCAGCAGCCCCTGCCGTGCACATGAGCAACATTACTCGATGATTTTTTTTTTGGGGGGGGGGGGCGGGGGGAGGAGGAACGGAATGAGTTAGTCGGAGCGCCTTACGACCCTTATCCAGCAGCACGCGATGGGATGGGCGCGGGGTTTTGCCAGCAGCTGGGGATCACAAGCGGCGATAGGTGGGGCCCGTTTCGCGTCACGCTCTCTTCGTGCATGATGATCACGGGGGACATCCGCGTCACGTCCGTGTGACGTGCAGTTTCCTGGCGTTCGTGTCTGCTGTAGAATCGGGCGGTGTTCTGCACGTGCTTCATGACCAGCCGTTACTGGCATAACTGAGCGTCCCATTGTGCAGCGTCCGGCCTTCCGACGAATGGCTGAGTGCTGGAGTGGAGCCCGGCGACCGGCTGCGGGCTAATCCGACTGACCTGACCTGACCCGCGCCACGCTCCAGAGCAACGAGATCGCGGGCGACGACGCGTCGGGTGCGCTCTGCCTGAAGCGACCCTGGCCGGGCATGGCGCGCACCATCTACGGCTCGCACCAGCGCTACGTGGAGACCTACTTGAAGCCGACGCCCGGCTACTACTACACAGGCGACGGCGCGCACAGGTGGGGCACCGCTCCGGCCGCCGTGGGACCGGGCTGGTGGGAGCCGCGTGTGTCGGGGTGTGACGTCCGCCTGTCTGTTTTAACATGGTGGGCGTTTGTAGAGAACGCTCTGCCTGTCGGCGTAACGCCGTGGGGTGTGCGGGCGTGTGCGTGTGTGACTGAACCACCCTGTGAACGTTGGCATGGTGGCGTGCCATGTCACTGACCTGGCGCCCATAACACTGCGGCCCTCGTCCTCCCCAACCTGCCCGTCTGTGTGGCCGCTGCCGGCGTGTCCGCGCATGCGCACACGCCAATCACTGTGGGGTCGCCTTGGCATGCCTGCGACGTATGGGAGCTGCACCAGCGGCGAGCGTTTCGGTGGGCGTCCCACCTGACGGACGGCCAATGTGCGGCGGCGGGTGGAGCGCCGAGCCACGGCGTCGGTGGCTGCTGGTCGGTTCTCCCGAGCCGGGGCGTCGCGTCCAGCCAGGGGTTTCGCTCAGCGCCGTGAGCACGGGACGACAATGGAGACGGGCGCGCGGTTCTCCGGCGACCGGTTGGCGTCCGCCGCTAGCTGCCGGGGTGCTGCTTGTAGGAGGCGGTCCTGATGACGCCAGCAAGGAACAGATGGATTAACAGCTCATCCGACGCCGTGAATATTTTTGACGCTGGACTGAGCCTCGGGGCGGTAGTGTTTGTCGTGAGCAGTGTGACTGGTTGATCCATTGTTCACATACAAACGTGACGCATTTCCGGTGCAAAAATTCAAACACAGTCGCATTCTAATTCGTGAGAGAAGTCTGAAGGTAGACTCGGATACCCCCTGTTACCGTTGTCAGTTGCGATGAGTCGGCTGTCACAGTTAAGCGATGATGACCCGTCGACCGTCACAGTGCTGACGGGAGTCAACGGGATGTAGAGGCGTCAATAGCTGCCGCTCTGGCCTAGTTCATAGCGATGCTCGTTTGTCGTGACATTGACAGTTCACCGTAACCGCGGCATTGACATCCGAACTAGTCAAGGGATTTGCATTTCGAAGCACATGAAATACGCCGTTCAGGTTTGCCGTTTTTGCCCTGGTGGGGCACCACTGATGTGTTCCTTGAAGTTCACGCGGGTGAAAACGTCGTTCAGAAGCCTCACAGGGGAGGGGGGGGGGGGGGGGGGAGAGGGCGTCAGGTTCGTCCCTTGTCGAGCGAGGGTTGAGGTATTCTGTGACGCCGCGCTTGTAGCCGGTTAACCCCTCACTTTCGTCACGGGTCACGTGAGCGGACCACGTGACTTCAAACGTTGCAACTAAATAACCGCCGTTCCCAATGCCCCAGACCGGGTTATTCCGCCCACTCCATAGCCTCGCCCCCCTCTAAGCCCGCGCGAGCGTAGTGCGGTGGCGTATGTGTCGGTCCGGCGTCGCCGCTCAGTCCGTGTCGTCCGCTGCCCGTCCAGACACCCGGGCGGCTACTACCAGATCACCGGCCGCATGGACGACGTCATCAACGTGACGGGCCACCGGCTGGGCACCGCCGAGGTCGAGGATGTCATGGTCAGTGCGCCTCGGCCGGACCGGTGACGTGGACGGGAGCGGTGCTCAGACATGCTGGCGGAAACCCGTTGCACGAGGGCTGTTTGTGCTGACTGTAATGGGAGTGGCTGGCTGGTGTTTGCGTTGTCCGCACGTGCATGCAGTGTCAACTCTATCGCGCGGGAAGTGAAAGCCCTTTGCAACCGATTGCCTGCGTCTATCAGCGCTTTACAACATGCCGTGATAGTTAATATGAGTCGGGACTTCGTAGGCTTCGATCAAGTATCTTTTGTTATCCCCATATGTACCTATGGTGTGTTCCCTTACACCCTGCCGCAACGCGCGTATGATCTGCCTGTTGGTGGTTATGGTGGTGCGTGCCGTCCCAGGCTTTGTTTCTGTCCACCCCCTACCCCTTCCGCGTGCGCATCTACCCAGCGCCCGGCTGTCGACCGAACAGCCGGCCCGCAGCGGCGCGTGACGAGCCGTCCCGCGGCGCCGCAGGACGAGTACGAGCCGGTGGCCGAGACGGCCGTGGTCGGCTTCCCGCACGAGCTGAAGGGAGAGGGCCTGTACGCCTTCATCATCCTGAAGGAGGGCGTCGCGGAGACGGACGAGCACATCAAGCAGGTGCTGCGCGCCGACGTGCGGAAGAAGATCGCCGGCTACGCCGTGCCAGACCACATGCTGGTCAGTATAGCGCCCCATCGAGTGTAATGTGTTGGCGGGGCCGGGCTGCAGGCGTGCTGTATCGACGGGGCTGGACATTATATGTGCTGTTTCGGTGGGACCAGATATGCTGTATCGGCGGGACCAGATATGCTGTATTGACGGGACCATATGTGCTGTATCGGCGGGACCAGATGTGCTGTATTGACGGGACCACATGTGCTGTATCGGCGGGACCAGGTGTGCTGTATTGACGGGACCACATGTGCTGTATCGGCGGGACCAGGTGTGCTGTATTGACGGGACCAGATGTGCTGTATCGGCGGGACCATGTGCTGTATTGACGGGACCAGTGCTGTATGACGGGACCAGGTGTGTTGTATTGACGGGACCAATGTGCTGTATCGGCGGGACCAGGTGTGCTGTATTGACGGGACCATATGAACTGTATCGGCGGGACCAGGTGTGCTGTATTGACGGGACCATATGTACTGTATCGGCGGGACCAGATGTGATGTATTGACGGGACCAGATATGTTGTACCGGCGGCACCAGATGTGCTGTATCGGCATGACCAGATGTGCTGTATCGGCGAGGCCGGATGTGCTGTGCCGACGGAGCCGGGTATCAGGTGCAATTATCAGTAGTGCCGGCCACCAGGTATGTGTCAGTGGTGCAGGGCTGGGATGTACGGCTCTACATGCAATGTGACCATTCTGGTCTCAACCGCAGCGCATCAGGTGTATGTGGTGTAGCGCGGCAGGGATGAGGTTGACATTAGGCCCCCGCACGTTCGTGCGCCCGCACGTGCATGCACTGACCGGCCGGCGCGACCGCCACACCGCAGATCGTGCCCGGCCTGCCGAAGACGCGCTCCGGCAAGATCATGCGCCGCATCCTGCGCAAGATCGCGGCCAACCAGCCGGACGAGCTGGGCGACATATCCACCCTGCAGGACCCGACCGTGGTGGAGCAGATCCTGGACCTCCACCGCCGGCAGACGGCCCAGTGAGCGCGGCCGGCGCCGCCGCCCGCCGACCGACCCGGCGGCGGCCGGCTGGCGGCTGGCGGCGGCCGGCTGCGGCGGACGCGGCGCAGGGCGCCTGCCGCTGCCGCTGTGGCCCGTCCGTGGCGGCGGGTTCGGGTGACTACGCACGCGCCGCTGTGGAGGCTTGTGTCGCGCGGCCGCGGATCGTCGACGGACTGGTGAGCTGCGTAACCTTCCAGCACTTACCACACAATCAAACTCCTCCAGGAGCTGGGAAGAGCGGCACCGTCTAGCACTGTCTTCCCGCCCGTTTTGCTCGGAATAGGGTCGCTTCGTAATTCGGAGCGGACACGTACGTTATGTCAAAAGGCTGGAATGAGGCCACACGGGGTGGCAGTGTGTCGCGAATGTTTGCGTTCGTATTGACGTGGGCTGTGCACGTTTTGTGCTGACGCGCGCTTGAGTGAAGCGGTGATACACCTGGGCGGCGTCATCGGAGCATTCCCTGCGGTGATACCAGCGATGGGGTCGTTTTGAAATTAGAGCTAGTTGATTCGTTGAGTCGATTTGTACCTCGTGGTGCATGTTGTGGTTTGATGGATTATTTTCCGCCAAACACCCTCCCGGAGCCGGTTTGCCGTGAAGGACGCGCATCTCCCCAATTAACTGCAACTTCTTAAAGTACCTTATAACGTTGTACAAAATGCTACTCGCCCGAACTTTGCTACCTCCTCGTTACCTGTACTGACTTCAAGATCGTCCGGACGCAATGGCGTTGACAGTAGTATCCTCATCTCTATCACTTGGATTAATTGCTGCCATTCCTGGTGATTTTCTGACGTCAGGAACACGGAGCTTGCCGGCTGCTGCACTAGCTGTGTTCCGCAAAGATTGTTGCGCGTGATTTCCTTATCAGCAAGGTTCGACCGAGCCCAAATACGTGGTTGAACTCCAGACAAACCTTTGATGGTCACGCGCAGCATCAATGCCGCTGACTTTGTGGATTCATTCAGCCGTAGACTTATCACCTTGCGCCCGTGCCATTTGACAAGTGTCGTACTGTTCCACACTGTCTCGGCGCCTACAGTCATCCTTACGAGCAGCATCTCCGTCTGCCGTGTGAGGACTCCGTCAACTGACGAAACCTTAGCCGTAGGGTGTTCGGGGTTCGTGGTTGAATGCGTGACCGCACGCAGAGATCTTGCGTTGTGTAAGGTTCTACGATCAACTTGTTGGTTAAATTTCCTTTTGTAGTGAGAGCGTGCCATTTGATGGCGCCGAAATCGTGTAGAAAGCGTAGTGTGTGGTAATGACCGAGCCTACGCCATGGGTTCATGGGAGGCCAACTTTGACCGGTGTGCTCAAGACGTGCCAGGTCATTTTTGGACAAAACTTTTGATCTTTTTATGGAATCCGTAGTTGATTGCTCGTGTCCCCCCCCCCCGCGGCGTCAATGCCGCGGCCCGACGCCCGCATGTCAGTGCAATCGTCCTTGGCGACGCCCCCCACTGTCCGGTACAAACTCTTTCGGCGCGCGCCCGTCCCGGTACGGTGGCCGTCTGGACACCAGTCCTCCGTCAGTTTTGTGTCCAATCTCAAACCATACCGTCCTTGTGCGGACGGCCCGGCCGTAGTTACACCATCTGGGCGTGGCGGCAGACCGCTCTGCCGCCGATTCCGTGTCTGCGATGCCGCGGTTCAGGGATGTAACGGCTCCCACGCTAGGATTAGGTTACCAGGCGCAACGGTCGGCTGGGGAACGGTCGCCTCGTTTTCGGCGTTAATGCTTTGAATGTAGCGTGCGATGCCGCTCTGTTGGCGGACTGTCGTGCGCTGTCTGGTGGTGGCGGAATACGTTTCGGATATCGTATTTTAATAGCACTGACATTTGTCGTGACTTGTCATGTATCGTGTATGCTGGGAAGCGGAATGTGATCATATTTAGTGATACGTGGGACTGGTGACAACATAAGCCTGGTGGAGCTGTTTACAAGGCTACGTAGGGTGCTGGGGTAGCAAGAGGCCCGCTGATTGAGTCGGAAGTGCGTTCAGCAGCGGCTGATGGGGCAGCAAGAAGCCCGCTAATTGAGCCGGAAGTGCGTTCAGCAGCGGCTGATACGGGGAAGCTGTGTAATCATGAGCTGAATCGCGGTGTTGGTGCGGTACAATAATACAATGTCAACCCTGACCCCGGCTCTTTACATCCTGCATCCATGAGACCGGCAAGCAATGCTGACTCGTGCGTGCAACGCGCCGGACGCGCCGACGCTGAAGGTGAACTACGGGCTGGTCCGCCCTGGACTCGATGCCGGAGGGGTGCCAACCTCATCAGAGGATGCCCCAGTGTATCCGGCTCTGCGCTGACCAGATCCGAGGCTCTGCCAGTTCAAGCACGTTGACGGAGGCCTCCCGAGCTCGGCTCGATGTCGAAGAGGTGCCGACCTCATCAGAGGATGGCCCAGTGTGTCCGGCTCCGCGCTGACCAGATCCGAGACTACACTACTGGGAGCCATTGTTCTGCGAATATCGAAAGTTCTAAATATCAGCGTGATACATTGCACACTTTCCGCCTCCGTCATTTGTTGTTTTAGACCTCGTTTCCGATGTCGCTCGCATGGTCAGTGCTCTCACAGTGTGATACGGTCGCGGACTGCTCTTGCCGAGCGGCTGTCTGCCGGGCCGCTGCACCAGACCCTGCCCGCAGCGTGAGTCCGCGCCGAGCTCGGTTCGGGCAAGAGGTCCTCCGCGAGGACGCAGGTGCTATCTGGTGTGGAGCATGGAGCCCCGTGGCACTCCGGCTCTCTCTCTCTCTCTCTCTCTCTCTCTCTCTCTCTCTCTCTCTCTCTCTCTCTCTCTCTCTCCAGACCACTCAGGTCGCAAACAGCCCTATGCTCGAATGCGGCAGCCCGACTCCTTCGACGTGATCGTCGAAGGGTACTTCTTCGCAGTACTTCTCCCGCGCCGCGACGCGCCCCCCCCCCCCCCCCCCCCCCCCCCCCCCTCCTCCCAGCACCGGCGGATTGCCGACGGTTGCGCCGACCGCTCCGGCCACGTCGGCGACGGCATCATCATCATCCTCCTCCGCACGGACCCGCCGGCCTCGGGGCCTCCCGCGGCTTGAGCTCGCTCGGACACGGTGGACGGCAACGGCCAGCCGCCGCTGCCGACCTCAGCGCCGGACCGTCCACTCTGAAGCTGTCCCCGCGAGCAGTAACGTTACGTGCGCACCTCCGCATATCCCCTCCACGGTCAGCCCGCTGCAGTGCGAAGCCGGCGAGGAGTTCCCGGCAGACGCACGGAGTGAAGCGGATAGTGCACAGTGTGGCGGATGACCTAGTCCCCGCAGATGTCCACCGGCCCTCGACGTTGTTTGGGAACCGTGACAACCTTGCCGCCAATGCAGCTGAGGTTGACACGCATAGTCCAGCTTTGAGCTTCCTCGGGTCGGCTGAGGTGGACCTGAGTGAGTGATATCGACAATAGTTTTGTGCGTCAGCTCCCCGAAAAACCAGCAGTGTGAAGCGAGGGCCGCGGAGGTAACCATCGCGTGATTCCTTAGTTCATCCAGTTCTCTGGCCACTCTGCTGAATTCTCCCCGTGTCCAGGCATGCACAGAATCCCAGTCTTACCCAATGTCGTTTTCCATATTGTAATAAAGGAACAGAAAACGCACATTTCTAGACTGTGACAATCGCAAAAAGGATACCAATATCAACACCTACCCACTGCATAAAAACAGGCGTCACTTACAAATAAAATGGGAAGCACTTCGACTTCAAAAAAGTTAAAAACCTGAATCCACTCGTAACACGCCGACCGCTGTCCTTCATGCATGCAGGCACAATACACCTACCGGTCGAAACGCCACACAACACGACCACACAGGATCTTTCATGACCAGCTGCCTGCCGTGCCAGGCAGGCGGATGATCAGCGCAGAGGCCCACAAGCTGACCAAAGGTGTAACAAACAAGGCAGTGTTCGAGACCTGAACTGGCACCGCTCCTTGGCAAAACACGCGCACTTGAGAAGGCTCGGCTCGGCAAGACGAAACGTGGTCCAGGAACCTTACGAGTTAGCTGTCACGCCGCCTATGTCGGCATACGCACCGCACACTGGACATCCTCCACATCTAGGGCGACCGCCGATCCAAGCTTTACCTGTACCCAGGCGACCCCTTCGCCCGCCCCTGTTCGGCACCGCGTGACCTTTGTCCAGCGGTGCTCCGTTTCAGCTGCAGTGACACGCGGCGGACATGACGGGCGCCGGCGCCGCCCGGTCAGTGCCGTCGGTCCCCTGATGCGCTGGAGCTGAAGTAGAAATCGATGCCACGCCGCTGGCCTCGGCCCGGCTGGGGTCCGCCCCGACCTCGACCCCGGCCCGGCGCCTGTCGACCGAGGTCACGTTAGGTCACGAGGCAAGGTACGCGTTCACCCACCGCAAGACAGCACAGCAGCCGGCCAGCCGCTGACGTGCACAGCTGGCCATGGCCGCCGCCACACTGGTTTGACTGGCTGCAGCGTGACGTGCTGGCATATATATATATATATATATATATATATATATATATATATATATATATATATATATACATGGACATGCCGCAGGACTGTAGCCCACTTCATAGTTGTATTACGCAAAACGTAATTTCGGGGGCTCATTGATACTTTGCTTTTTGTTCTGAACTTCTCTGAAACTTACCTCTGCTCTACTTTTGCCTGCTGAATGCTCTGCAACCATCTATCACGTACCTAAAACGAATGCTGCAATGCTCCATTCCACCGAACGACATCCTCTAAAAACTAAGTGTGGAGAAAAGCAAGAGAGGCTTTCGAGAACTTCTGCTCCGCCGCACACCAGCTGTGACACAGCGACAACAGCAGGTGACACTGGAGCTAAAACACACATTCCGCAGGACTGGCGCAGTGCTGGGCGAGTGCCCACTCCACCGACGGCAGTCGACGACACAGCGCAGCCCCGGCCGTACCGTTTTGCTCGCATGCCGCTGCCACTCGGGTGCCACCACCATCGGGTCCGGGTACTCCAGCTGACGCCGCGCCGCCGGCGGCAGCGCCCACGGCATGTGCACGCGGCCGTCCTTGACCGAGGCCAGCTCGGGCACCCACAGACGCACGTACTCGCCCTGCGCGGGAGGAGGTCAGGTCAGGTCAGGTCAGGTCAGGACGGGCAGGCCCCGCGCCCACGGCCAGGGCGCAGCACACCCGGTCCCCGTCACGACAAAAAGGAAACATCGCGCGAAAAGCCAGGGCCATTGCGATCGAATGCGATTGCGATTGAGATGCGCGTACGCTAGGCAATCTGGAAACACGTGTGCAGGCCGCGTAGTTTTCAAATAGTACACGATGCGCGCGCGTCAAGCCATATGATAAATACGCACATCCGTCGCAGTTGAGAGGCACATGTACCCAAACGCGTTTGCTTGGTTGGTTATGGCTGCTAGGGTGCAAATCCAAGACCAACCCGCTATTCCAACGTCCACCAGATATGTTCGGCACCCTACCCCCTGTCGACAATGAGCCCGAATGAGCCAGCCAAACAATGCGCACCAGTTTGTCGGCACGCCAAATGTCGCGCCACACCGTTGGCGGCCGGCTGTCACTAGCCCACCTGTGGATCATAGTCGGTGGCCTGTTTGATCATGTTGAACTTCCTGTTCTCTCGCGGGTCGTTCCCGATGCCGGCCGAGTAGTTCCAGTTGCCGTAGTTGCTGCACACGTCATGGTCCAGCTGAAAACAACGCCGATCGTGGCATACGCACAGCAAGGCCCGCGTCCGTATATGGCCACTGGCCACCCGGGATTAGTTTTGGGCGCGCCTCACCGCCCGCCCGCGTCCCGAAGTCAGCACTCGTGGCCGGCGGCCGGCAGGGAGTGTGTGATAGCACACACGGCAGTTGTGCACTGGCACGCCGTGCCAGTCACTCTGCGAGTCTGCAAAGAGTCTGCCCGGCAAGTCAGCCAACATCCCGCGCAGGCAGGCCCGGAGGTGTGGTGACTGCCAGCACACAGACCGGGCCTTCCCAAAACACACCACTCACTCCGTGTGTACTCAGGACGCTGACCTGCGCGGGAGCTCAGCATTCCCATGGCAAGTGTCTCGACTCCCGCCGTCCCACGCACGACTGCGCACCCTGCGGTCCACTTCGTCCATTCTCGGGGGAGGGCCGTACCTCCATCCCCAGCTTCCAACTTCCCAGCTATCACATGGTGCGGGCTGGATAAGCAAAGTCGACTTCCGGCAATATTCTATCTCTTCAGAGCTCGCTGACCACATCATCGAAGCCCGTCTGGCATCTCGGCACCCCGTCTCTAGTCCCCAGTCCCTGACCATGCAGCTCTACTGACCAGCAGTGACTCGAACCACTCGGCACCCAGCCTCCAGTCGAGGCCCAGGTCCTTGGTGAGGAAGCTGGCCACGTTCTGGCGGCCTCGATTGCTCATCCATCCGGTCAGCTTCAGCTCACGCATGTTGGCGTCGACGAACGGCACGCCCGTTGCACCATCTGCCGGAGGAAACGGAAACCACAAGTTGGCAAGCTGCGACAGATCGCGAACTTCGTATTGACCGTTGGATGTGGCTGGATGGAACGAATAAAACCACCACGATACAACAGGCGCCAATCAGACGCTTCCACGGCCAAGCCTGGCCGCTAGTCCGTTGTGAAACGTTACCGCACTTCACAAACATCAGAACGACAGAGCACACCCACCCCGCAGCGGGGAAGGTCGGGTTGTGGGTCACTCGTGACTCGACCGTCCACACTGATCACGCCTGGCCCCGTGGATCGGCAGCAGCAGCAGCGGCCGGCAGCGTGAAAACGAACACCATCAGCAACATGCTGATGGATATCGCTCGACATAGCATAGGGAAAACATGGCCGGGAGCGACAAACATTCAGCTTACTGAGCCCGACGCTGATGGACTTCCCAACACCGTCGATTCTCTGTCAGCACAGGGATGTAAATCAAGGTCAGGTTACCGCGCAGCTTGTTCTCATGCCAGATGCTCTCATGCTCCCAGCCCATCTCTCCTGACCCCATGTCAGAAACGTCAGCTGGAGCCAGATAAGCTCGGTTTTGGTTGGCATGAGATCCGTTTCGACCAGCACGGAGCGTTGCAGAACTGTTGGGATGAAGGAGAGGCTAGTGGAGGGGCACGACTGCGACACCTGGGATTCCTCCACCCCAGAGCCTTACCCCACACAGGGACCCGTCTTTGGGCTATGAACGAGAGCTCGGGCGGGCCCCCGCCCGGGGGTCGTGAAGCCGGCCCGTAGCTGATGGCCGCGGCTGGCTCTGGAGAGACGGGACACTGTTGGACTCGGGACGACGCGACGCACGAGGAAAGAAGGGCGAATGCAAGACAGGCAAATTTCTTGGCCGCCGCCGGCACCAGCGCGGGCCGGTCTCCGCCGGGTGTGCGACAGCCCCCCGGGCGCGCGTGGCCACGGTTCAGGGGCATGCTGACGTCAGGTGCGGTCACCTGACGCGGCCGCCACGCGTCAGTCGGCAGCCGACTAACGACTTCACGGCAGCCGGACGGCCAGCCACTGTCCACCGCTCGCCGCCGGCGGGGACGGCTCGGTCGGGCGCCGCAGCGCCGCCCGGCCTCCGGCCACTGCCCAGCGGCGCCACTAAAAACGCCCCCCCCCCCCCCCCACCCGTCGCCGCCGCCGCCGTCGCCGGAGCCGCTGACCGCCAGCGCTGGGACACAGCTGCTCCGTCGGGCACGCGTCGCCGCACGTACAGCACGCGGAGCACGCAGGGAGACAGGGAGATGGCGCACAGAGGGCGGGAGCACGGACGTGAAGAGGAGCAATGACTGAGACGGTCATGGCGACTGGGGAAAAAACAGAAGACCGCTACGCGGGAACGGGGACGGGGGGAGGGGGGGGGGGTCAGGGACGGAGGCCAAGGGAGGAAGGAAGAAAGGAACAAGGGACAGGGGACGGACATGGAAGTCGAAGATGGAACAAAGAGAAGGATGGAAGGCGGCAGACAGAGGACGGGCGTTGCATGCAAAGCATTGCACGATAAGCGCGTGCTGTGTGCAGTGCCATGTCGTGTGACATACGCTGTTCATCATTGCCGAAAGGTTCGCGTTGTTACATCTCACTGCCCCATTCACATGGCAGCGAATTTCCTGCACCTTTCTGCAACATATCACGGTACGAAATATAGGATATTGAATCTGTGTTTGCTTACGTGGATCAAGTGTTACAAGCATACACTCGAGGGCTTTATAATTTAATCATAAATAATTACGCAAGGACCCGATTCCACATCGTAGAGGAGAATGCCATAAGCCGTTCCAAAACATATAAGCATGCCGCGTAGGCGGCATTACAAACCAGTCCTTTTGACGGCGTACGGGCGAGTGCTTCTTTTCACAGTGCGAGCCCTCACTTGAAATTCATATGTCAATCGGACGTTCTCGTCGCAACACCTCCTCCACGGCAGGATTGGCATCACGACGCTCGTTATAGAGCACGATAGCGAGAGGCGCTCGGACGCCGCGCCTGTTCTTGGCGACGGACCGCTGCGCCGTCCCGGCCGGTCGGCCGGCTGCTTAACCGTCCGGCTGCTTAATTTAGCGTTCTTCAACTGCGCATCCCGCCTTAGTCGCATTTACAGCTTTAAGTACCTTATTACTCCTTGAAATTGCATACGAATGATGCCCATACTTCGGGCCTTCGCTGACCCACGTGCACCGTCTAGTGACATGTGTCGCGATGACTCGATCGGCACGTCTCATGCAGGTGTTTTGTGCCGTTTCGCTCGGCACATATATCGCAGTGTTTTCTGTGGCCGTCTCGCTAATTTCCCGCAGCACTTGTTAGCCGGCGGTGAGCCGCTGCAGCACGCTGCGGACGGCCAGCCACGTTATCAGCTGCGACAGCGTTGGACAGCACACATGTATCATCCAAGGCCATCCGCTGCACGTGGAGTCTTCTCGCGCTGCCCGTCCTGAGTCAAATGAGCCGGAAACGTTTCAGAAAATCAATATTCTTCTTGATATCACGTAAGTTGTTAAGCGTATTTTCGAGGAGCATTATTCACACATATAAGACAGTGTATTGCCTTATTCCTCGAAGAAAAAAACAGGGGGAATGCATATAAGCATGCGCTATACGCGCATCTACATCTCCAAACCAAACGTAAATAACGCAAACCCAAACTTATGCCAAACAAGTTCATCAAAACGAACCCCAGTTCCAATCGATACCGCGCTCAACTGAAAAACCGTGCAACCCCAGTGGCACTGGTACAAGAAGACGAGGCCATGGCTTCCATGCATCTTTTCAAGCGTCGCCGGTGGCATCTCTAAAAATATTCAACACGACTTTTCATCGACTTTCCAACCCAGCGCAACGACGCTCTTCTGAAACTCTTTCAGTGAAGGAAGGCTTTGAGCTTTCGTGTGCTTCCCGCCCAGTCAAGTGTTTATGCACCAAACACAACGTTAGTCTTGGCTCGTTGACTGCTGACTACCACACGATGCTGCTAACGCCGCCGCTAGCGTCCGCGATGTGTCAGCCCAGCTCCCGCCACACCCCATAACTGGGCCGGGCTCACCTTGGTGAGGTCACTGCCCGATAGCGCTGCTGGCCCACATCCAACATAGACAATCACGGAACCAGACGCCCAAACGGCTGTCCTATCCGGGCCATACGCGCATCAACATCGCGCGCTCATGTTGACCCATCACCGCATCACACATCCGGTGCGCGGTAGCCTGGCTGGGTCACCGCTCTTGCGACTGCCGCAGGTCGTCTGAACGCGTCCACGACCCTTCCTGCTCGCATCATCAACGGCAGCAGAAAGCTTCATCAGCAGAAAAGGTCAAACAACTGTTATGCCGATCTCCTGGCGCACGTGCCTGACCCCAGGTCAGTGACGTGTGCTGTCACGTTCTTTGTGGAGGGGAAAGCCGGAACACCGACAGCACCGCGTCACGAGCCTACGGTCCCGCTGCTTTCGTCACAGGCCGAGCATACCGATGTGCCGTACCACGCAAACATTACAACCACGCGCACATCCCCTTCCCGGACGTAAGTTCCTCACCAATGAGAGCCAGCCCACAGCCAGAAATACCTCCTCCATCCCAGCATCGTCTCAAACCGCCTGGACACTTTAAGGGCCATGTGACACCGGTCTGGACACAAACAGAGGCGGCGGGCGACCCTACGGTCAGCTGACGGGTCAGCCGGTGACCATGGCCCGTGAGGCAGCGGCCGGCGGCGCCGCCTGCGCCGTTGGCCCGCTGACAAGGGTCGCCCTGGCCGCCTGAGAATAGCCATCCGGTGGCGGCGTCCACCAGGGGGCGGCGACACCGTTTATAGCGGCTGACGGCCCCTCCCCTGCCGGAGGCGCGGCCGAGGTCGCCGCCAGCGCCGCGTCAGCTCATGTCGGCTCCACTGACGGGGTCAAGGACGTCCGCCAGCAGCGGTCACGTGCCGCATGTCAGCGACACACGCCCTGAGGCTGGCGGCCCTTCGTCTTGCCCTCTGTTCTACGGGGACAGCGCGCGCGGTGGACGGCAAAACGACGGACTGGAAACCGCCCGCCTACCGTCACGCCTCGCCTCTCTGTCCCGCAGCCGCCACGGAGGACGTCGTCACTGCATGCGCATGACGGATGAGGTTCGTCCGGGAGGCGACGGCGCCGTAGATCAGCCCCGGGTCCGTCAGGGAGACTGATCGATGGGCACACGCTGAGCGCCTGGAAGGCGGCCGGCTCGCTCGCCGTCGTCACGGAAGTCGGGTGCTGGTGGCCTTGGTCCACCCATGGTCCCGCAGACAGAGTCGTCGCGGAGGTCCGCGAGCTATCGCACCTGGTACACACCGTACGTCTGCGGGGAGGTGCGGACACTTGCGTCGCAGCAGTTCAACTTTGCTTGGTGGTTTGGGTGTTCGAATATCGTTCCGGACTTGACAGCGGCAGACGCAATGACTATGTAGCTCATCGGAGGTAACAAATCGTGAGAAAAGTGTTAATTTAGTGTGACGTGACATATACCTAGTATTGTCGCATGACAGCTCCTTACCCACGACTGGTCACAAAGCTCCACCTACGACACTACTACTGCTGACACTTCAAAGTTCGCCATTGATCACAGGCGAGTCAAGTTGACGAGCAGCTCCGGCCATTTACTGTTGCGCTTGTTCGGCTGTTGCCAATTGAAACTGGCTGGTTCGTTGATGTGATCCTTTAAAGCTGTGAGAAGCCAATGCCATGCAGGAGCGACCGAAGAATCAGGGCTCATCAGCTGACGACATAAGAGCTTGCTTAACAGGACATGCAGCCACATACAACGTTTGAGAGGGACAAAACAAAACCAATTCCGATAATCCAACTTAAGACCCAAGCTTTTCTGCAATACGTCAATGAAGCCTAGGCTGTCACATTCAGGAGTGAAGTACGTGCCAAACCATATCAAGGGCAAGCAAACTGGCTCGTTGGATTTAGTAACAAAACAATTTTTCCTACAAACAGACGACAC